ACTTTTGATTTCATGGAAATTTCAAATCTTCCTGGCTTTTTAAATTAAGAATATTTGTAAATGAATTGAACTCAATCTGTGTTTCCTAATAAGTATTATCAAATTTAAGAGAAAAACAAGGACAAAATGGACTTTTCTTGCTTGTTAATTAGCTTTAAAATCAGGAAGTCGGTAGGCAAAACAGAACATTTGTTTACTAATTCTTCGCAATCCTCTATTTGCAAAAGTGGTTATCGATTTTAGCAAGCCTTAGTTATCTTCGAGATAATTGATATGAATACGTCACTTGTTTAAATCCACGTGTTTCCAGACAAATTGTTTAATTTAGACGTTTATGAGCTTTTTTGGATGTGATAACAACGAGTGGTAGTTATCAACTTATCTTAAAACATTTGTGTTACATTTGCTCTTTTATGGTATCCTACCGAATAATATCGAATAATAGTTTGGTATTGAATTACCAGGAAAGGTCAAATGAAAATGAAATTTAAAAATTAAAGTTTTTAATTGTTTTGAATGGGACATACTGTAGTCCTGTTTTCACATATTTTACTTTCTGAAGATATTAAATATCTCAGAAGAACAGGTCTTTATTCACAGTTGGTTTCTATTGCTTCTAGATTTTTAAATGTAAAAGACACTAGCAAACTGTTCTCAGCAAAGAACATATACACATGATACAGTGTTTTTTGTTAGGGATAAACATTTATAGATTGCATACTTTATGTGTATAACGATTGAAAGGTGTAGAGTGACTAATTGTTATATTGAGATAAAATGACGTGTAATGCAGTCTAAAACTCCTAACTAAATGTTTTGTTTTTTCTACCATGTATCTCCTATCACATTGCTAACTCGATAGTTCCGTTTTATTAAAGATAACTCAAATTTCTTCTGTTATAGCTGCTATTACCATAATTTAAATCATACTTTTGGTTTGACGATCTATACTGTCTATTTTTGCTTATGTATCTTCCACCAATAAAAAGCGATTGTGAATAAGTATAAGTTTAAACTGGTGTCAGTAATCTTCCATTTTCAATTCCTTATTACAACAGTACAACCTGTATTTATGCATATATATATATATATATATATATATATATATATATATATATATATATCAAAATTTATCTGATGCAATTTTTGGACACATTCCTTTTTATCTTGAATGGATATTTATGTATTTTTTTTACGTGTGCGTATCATAAACTAGATAAAAGTTATTTCTAATGAGCATGATATCCTCTTTAGTTTATTGTGCTTTACTTAAATGATTCTGAGCTGTTTGTTCATCTTTTCTAATGTTTTAGTTTAACCATTCTTCAACTTGTTTCATTTTCATTCACTCAGTTTTTTGTTTGTTTGTTTTCTTCACCTGTCTTCATAATGATAACAGTGACAAGCTTGCTTATATATTTACTTTATCGCTTATACTATCGATCGACCCTCAATTTGCCGTATCGAATACTGAAGGTTGTTATATATATATATATATATATATATATATATATATATTACGTAACGCAAGGTTGATATATTTGTAGTAACTAACTGCAGTTCAAATTGGTATACATTTTAAATATTATTCAAAGCTAAAATTAAATGAATATGTTGTATATGTGTACATAGGAGTGAGTGTATTAAATTTTTCGTCCTGAGTTTTGTTTATTGTTTCCTTTTTCCCTGATTTTTGGAACGTTTTCTTTTTGCTATATCACTTAAACTGTAATTTGGAAAAAAACTACAGTTTTCTTCATACGTGCTTTTTGACATTACATTGCACTCGTATATATCGGAAAGTTTTTCTCTATAATAAATATATCTGCTTAAACGAAACATTTCTGTTAGACAATTTTCAAAATAACTCCTATTTGTTTTGATCAATAATGTTAAAGATCGATTTCGAAACCGTTATTGTAAACAGACTTTTGATTTGTTGATCGATACATCTTGCTCTGTTTTACTTTACGGCTATGAATCATAACCTATAAGAGTAGAAGGCTTAGGTAAGCTAAAGGATTTAGACATAAGTACCTTCGAACTGTCACTTTCGTATTGTGTAGTAGCTGCACTAACAATGCTGGTGTTACCCGTCGAGTATATAAAGGAATGACGACAAACCACTTGATAACTTTGTCACTATTCATCAACTGAGTTAGCTAGGAGTGTTGTGTTTTGTATATCGTACTACTACATACCTCGGTGCGCAACGCTGACTGCAATATGAGTTGGGTAAAAACCATAAGCCCGGGAAACCAAAATTTGGCATTAATTCATTAAATCATTGACTGTTAGTCTTAGTTATATTGATAGATATTGTTTACCTATTCCGGGTCGCTACGATAATCACATTCAGTTGTTTCAGATATTAGGTTACGTGACTCTGAACTGTTGTCTGTGTCTCAGATACGTTCACTCTTTGTATTTCCTAAGATCTTGAGTCTCAATATTCCTCGATTAGTACCTTTACATTTCTTCTTGAAGAATCTTTTTCTGAATGTTTAAATTTATCACTAGTATTACAATTATTTTGACTCATTAACCATTCATCTTGTTAATTTCATCTCATTGTGTTGATTTGGTATGATAACTTTGAGTAACATCTATTTGCCACAGGCTTCATATAAAATAAAACCGATAAGCAACAGTAGGAAAGATTATTGAATATTCATCTTAACTTGATATCAACACAACAGATAAGAGGTAATAAATTATTCTGATTGTATCATGCTCAAAACAGTGCTTCGATAAAATATTTGTTCAAATTTTTGTAACCAGTCAGAACTAAATAATTTGTTTCGTTATAAAATAAGGTATGCATTAGCTATTTCTTGTTTAAGTGTTCTTGATAAGTCTTGCTACTTGGACGCTATATTCGGTTCCTAAGCTATTCTCGTAGTCCCCAAGCTAGAACTACACAGAGACCTGAACACAAGAGAAAAAGGCGCAAAATATGCGAGAAGCACTTTACTCCAAAGGTTCGTTCGTATACAGAAAACACGGGTATTTATAAATATTAGCATTTGTTAAATCATTATATTTTGGCCAGTCCGCTAGGAGACATATTATGCTACTGAGCAATAGTAGCATGCCATGTTGATATTCTAGAAAGCTTCATCGTGTTCTGATTGGTTGGAACTCTTCGGCTCCTTTAGGGCCTCTGGAGGCTCCGTTGTAGTTCTCGGAAGCCGACTCAACAATTCTCAATTTCGAACAATTTAGAATAATGAAAAATATCAGAACTATGGTGAAACATTCACTTTCTGATGATAGTCATGTAAATCAAATGTTCGTATTGTTGTATTTGGTATTGTAACTTCCCTGTCAACCACATCTATTATATCAATGTACAGTGAAACAGTAGACTATGAATAAATACTAAGCCCATTGTTGTTTAACAAGTTTTGAATGCAATTAATCGATAATATCACTTGTATACTAAACAAATCTTATCAAAAGCAAAACATTATTTATTATTTAAACACATAAACATTGGTACAAGGAGGCATCAAATACATATGCGCCACATAAATCAAATGTCATTTGTGTGAGGGCTGTGATGCTGCCCGGGTGCCCAAACCAAAGCAAGTGATTTTCTTGAGGGGGGTACAGCCGGAGCCTTCAGCACAAAGGTCTGATCCACAAGACAGTGGAGCAACGTAAAGAGATGCAGTCCCATGGAAGCCGGTGACCAACAATTGGTTCATACGCCATTTGTTCCCGCAGGATACTGGAGCCCATGTGCACCATTGGTTTGAAATCATGGTTTTCCAACTCCCCTAGGTGGACTCTTCATATACACCAATCCGGTTAAAGCACCGGACATTCGCTTTTCGTCCTCTCAATTTCGTAAAGAACACCCCACCGCGAGAAGGTAGTGAGTAGGACTTTCCTGGCAGAGGCTATATACGTGTGGCGATGTGAGAGCATTTCGAGAAGGAGAGCTGACTCTCCCCACTCTCGGCCCTACCAGGGCATTTGCGGCCTTTGTGTGTAATAGCGGAACGTCGTACGCTCACTCAATTCATAAAAAAATGTACATTAATAATAAATAAAAGCTATAGTTAAATTAAAGATATAGCGAGAAAGGTTTCATTTGATTACACGATTTAACTTGACTTTTACGAGGAATGTTATGAAAAATACAACAGAAAGGTCTCCTTTAAATTCTATTGTAAATCACATCTTGTAATATTTAAAAAAATCAGTTAAGTTATTTCTCAAGTTTCAGATGACATAAACATCACATTGATATTTTTAATATATATATATATATATATATATATATATTCGATGTAACGTTCTCAAAACTTTGATTTTTTTCCCGTTATGTTATGGAGAATCCTAGTATGAGAGATGTAAACTATCTGGAGTATTTTGGAAATATCACAGTTATGATATTCTTTGCAAATGTTAATGTGTAATCATTCATTTTATGCTATCGATTTTTGTTCTTATTTGAGAGTCATACCGTCTTTTAATTTTTTATACATTAAATGTTAACTTTGTTTTAATTTCTGCATAATATATATTATCAGACTTATTTAATCATTATATTAGCCATATCGTGTATTATTACTTGGGGAATATTCTGAAGTAGTGGTCTCTTTTTTTCTGAAAGAGTACTAATATTGTATTACTCACCTGTCATAAATATTGTATCCCATTGTTTATCATATTTACCTACTCCATTTGAACAATATTTCATTTATAACTAACTTTATAGCTATGTAAAATTCTGTATACTTGATATTGGACATAATTTAGCATGTGAACTGATATTAATACTTGATTTCATTATTCAAGGCTGATAAAACGGAAATCGAAATACCAACCCTAATAATTTCAACTCTTGTGCTTTAATCATTTGGCTACCACCAATTGATTGTTAAGATAAAGTATATGTAGAAGATTGTTTTGGATATTATGTAATCAAAAGAGTAAAGATTTCGTTTCATTTTAATTACAATTTTTTTTATTTTGTCTTTTTATTTCAGTCAAATTATTGGAGGTTATTGAATCTGAAAAACATTTATACTTGGTCATGGAATATGCAAGTGGAGGTAAGTTGTATGCTAGCATTTTAAGTTACTTTTATCGTTGAATACAATTGCATGAGTTCATGTTACAAACGATATCATAATGAGTATGCATCTCCCGTGTCTTTGCATTGAAATACTATTATTTCCACTGAATAACTGTACTTCAGACTTTTATCATCAATCTACTCTATTTAAAGTAATCTTTTATGAAACTATTTTTAAAATAATTCATTTTTGTTTTGTTCGTTTGAATCTTCCGATTGATGTTTAGGACTGTAATTAAGCACTCTTTTATTGGCATGTGTGCATCCTGTGTGGATTGCCTCTATATTGCTTTAAGTCACAAGCATTGCAAAAAAAGATGATGGTCGCTAACAGTGAGTGGAATTTAGAATGCGCGTTTCGTTCTATTTGGGACTTGTCAGCTGGATAAACCTGCATCTTAAACTTGATATTCACTCTGAAACTCGAACAAAATACCATTCGCTTCAAACGCCATCGCGTTATTCACATAGCTGATGAGTCCAGATAGCCACTAGTTTGTGCAGTGTGGTGAAGTTTTAATTCCTTTTTGTATTGTTTGTTTGAATCTTCCCAGTGATGTTTAAGACTGCACTTGATCAGTCTCTTATTTTTGAGATAATTGATCATCAGAATAAAGTTTTGAATTTCACGACAATATATATATCTACGCAACTAATTGTTTCAACTGTATTGTATCAGTGAAAGAAGATGCTCTTACGCATTACTTTTATGATGTAATATTGTTTTTTTCCAGTCGTTTGCTCTATTAGTGTTTATTGATGTAGAAATGTTTTTCTTTGTATTCATTGTTGAATTGATTTCGAATATCGCCTAATCACTTTGTTTTCGTCTCTATATAAAGTTGGTACATACTAGGAATAAATAGTTGTCTAAATATCGTTGCAGTAGGTAGATAATTTTGGTCAGTTGCTTCCTTTGAAATGCCAGTATTCACACATCTGTTTTCAGAGTGCCTTAACACACTTGAGAGTTAAAAATACTCAATGCATTCACTACATCTGACCTCCTGGTCGTTTTAACGATAAAATGCTTTCGCTTTAATTTCATCCAAGATGTAATCAGAGGATATATCTGTCACTGTCCTTCCAAGTCCTATCACTGAATCCCTTTCCCTGGAACATTCTCTCTAAATATTTCTTTATTGCCTTAAGTGTACTACTATTCCACTATTTTGCTCTTTATATTGTTCTCTCGGTGCTGATGTGATTTAGCATATTAAATTGGTGCGCTAAACAAACGTTACTGCTTCCACCAGCAATTCTTGAGTCATGAATTCTATGTCGTTTTGTCCCTCATTCAAGAAACCCATTCAATCAAAAAAGCAACATCGTTCAACGTGTTTTTTTCCTTAGTAAACACTTTACTGCTGTAACAGATCACTGCAGTCGATAATATGGCTCTGTTGTTTAGAATTTCTGTCTCATCACTATTGACTCTGTATATTTGACTTCGCAGTAACAATTTTCCAGCTTGGATGACTTCACCAGAGATAAACGTGACAACTGCGTCTACATATCAACGGAAATTAAGAGAAAAAAACTCATATTCATTGTTTTATTTTTAAAAACGAATGCTGCCTAACTAACATTTATCTCAGCCGTCTGAGTTTTCTCAATACTCATATTAAAAATTGGTGTTACTGAACATTTAGAAGTGTATAGTGATGACTTGAATTATCAGTGACTGTAAATTCTTTAAGTTATTATTTTAATCTATCCAATCGTAGAAATTGTAAATAAAAATAACGCTAAACATTAACACTTACATTTACATTTCAAATGTAATTTCAACAAAGTATCATAGTATTAATTTTTGCTTCTAATAAAAAACAAGTTTTAACATGTCACATGTTAAATCTACCTAACTGGTAGTACAGTTTTAGTTATGGATTTCTGTGTATCTCTTTGTATTATTCTCTATCTATGTTTATTGTCCAATAAATATGCCATATATATTAGTCAACTGGTTAGTATTTCTTAAATGTTCATCAACTAAAAAAAATAATGGATAATCTTCCATATACTTCAGTTAGTTAAGTTCGTGTTGTGTAATTTGTAAATTGTAAAATCCCTACTATTTCATATTTTTAGTTCGAAAAATATAAGATGTTCTTTCTTCCCAAGATCACATTTTTTCCGATTAAAATGCAGTTATATGCATAAATACAGTTTCTATAATTCTCTCAACTTTGTTATACACTCTTCAGTAGTTTTATTGTTTATATTCTATGAATAAAGGAATAAACATTCTAATGAGTGAAAATGACTTAGTGAATCTTTCTAGTATGAAGTATGCCAGGTCATGTCGATGTACCAACTCATCTGAATGTAAAAAAATTGAATAATCAAATTTATTATTTGTTTAATACTCAGAGAAATGTTTGATGTATAGTAAGTTTGTGTAAAAATTGACAGTGCTCTAGGACTCATTTAGTTGTTTAGTTTTTAGGTAACCTTAGTGTAGTTAAGATGCATTAGTGACTAAAGTTTGTTGTTTCCAGCCAGTTATATTGGTCGGTTGTATTTATTTCCTAGCTTCCAAATCCGGGTTCCTACTTTTTATAAATAATTCTATTATTTGGTATTATCCATGTCCGTTCCTTGTACAGGAACTCGGAATATTTTTCTGAGTTGCAGTTTTCGATGTTCTTCACTAATTGTCAATTAGCATATAGTGAAAGTTTTAAAATACGAAAGACTGCAAAAGTATCAAAATATATCCCTTTGAATGAGCTGAAATACTACTTTCATTTATCAAATACTAATAAACTGAGTGCAGTATTGGAACATTTTCTTCAAGTTGTTGGTTTGAAACATATTTATTGACACCTATAAGTTGCTTTATCGTCTTCATTCTACACTTCCTCTCATAAATCATTCATTTTCTTCAGACTACATGGACTACTATTCGAAGGATGTGAATATTAGGTTTTTTATCACTGATCGGTTCGAATATGTTTAAATTTGGAATTCACTTGACTATATAGCCAATGACATTTTTACTGTAAACTGCTTAAAAAAAGGCTTTTTCATTAAGTTAACAAAACAGTTCTTTAATTCATGCTACTTTACATTATTTGCTAGGTTTAAAATTGATTTAACACAAGATTATTGTTCTGAATAAGGTAGCCGCTTTATATTTCAGATTTACTAGATTAGTTCCTTATTTGAGGACTCGAAGAAATAAGCCCTGACTATCAGATTATGAATTAGTTTTGGGAATATAGCTAAAATCAAACAATTAATGATATGAAATTAAAGAACTTTTATAACTATTCATGGGACTTCCACCTATTGTTGACTCTTAGTCTTTTTACAAGTTATTGTGCGCTAAGAAGTGTATATTATTTCATTTAACAGACTTTTTATTGAATATTTTATTCAATAAATTATATTAAAAAGGATCTTTTTTGTTCTGTTATCAGTTTATTAGATGAACAAATTCCTTTTTCTATCCAATTTCATATATATATATATGATAGACACTTCTGGTGATAGATGTATGTATGTGCAAATATGCCCACATATCTAGTATATCAATCTGTGCTGTGTTTGTGTATGCCTTACATATTCATGAATATAAATATTTATGTACATAGAATATTTTCTGTTTCTCGTCTTAATTCTTGTCTTATCAGTTTCGATTCGTTCATATATTATTATTATTATTATTATTATTATTATTATTATTATTATTATTATTATTATTATTATGAATACTGTTGTTATTACTGTTGCTAAAATGTCAACCTATCCTTTTATTGATTATTATCATTAGTGCCAAATAATTTGTTGTTTTACATTAATGTATTCTGCCGTTTTATATATGTTCATCCAGATTAATGCTTGTTTATAAGACAAACTAGATGTATATTTGTGTTTGTATGGATATAAATAAATAATTATTTATTTATCGATTCACCCGTTATACTGTCTTGATATAAAAAGAAGGAAAATACCGAGTTGGGATGAGGAATATGTTGATTATTCAAAATAAATGAAACATTGTTTATTTTGTAAGTTTTAAAATGAAGACCAGGAAGAACTCAAGAGTTCAGAAGCCTAATATTTAACGAGGCTTACATGTCAAAATTGGAACGAAATAGCAATGTAACAAAGTAACAACAATCAATGGAATAGCATTCAAGTTCACTGAGGAATTAGAAAAATGTTATCGCGATTATTCCTACCCCCTAAAACTATCCTTTATTAACAAAAGCTAGATAACCTGAGCTTTTCTTAACACTGTCACTTTAAGAAAACTTGCTGTCAGAACCTAGAGGTGCGAAACATAATTTTGTTTATGGAAATAAAGTTACTGAATTGAGCAAAGGTTATAGATATAGAAAAAATTATCCTTTATTCGAAATGTCGAAAAAGACAATGCGTAAAGTTCTATTGATATCATCCTGTCGTTTTTCATGTTGTTGTATTTGGATGTAACTTTTTGCTTTTTTTTTTAGATTGAACTGATTCTGTTCACGTTACAAATAAACTCATATCATATGAATTTATGTTACTAATTATTTTATTGTTGACTTACGCATTCAATTCAGGTCATTGGTTATAAATAATAGTCAATTTTGTAAACGAACTTGTTTGATGATTGTTTTGCGGGTGTCCTATTTTTACGTATCATTGTTGTTTTTCATTTTATAATTTGTGTTTTCGTAATTTTGATTGACAACTCTTCTGTTTTTTTGTTGTCTGTTGTTTTCGTTTAGGTGAAGTATTTGATTATCTTGTTTCACATGGTAAAATGAATGAAAAAGATGCACGATGTAAATTTCGTCAAATTGTTTCAGCTGTACAGTATTGTCATCAAAAAATGATTGTTCATCGAGATCTGAAAGTAAGTTGTTGTTCAATAATATTGCTATTCATCCTATTCAAAACAACCAGTCTTTTATTATTTTTATTTTTAAATTTCGACAGTGTAAGGTGTTTAGGCAGGACTTTTTATACCTTCCGTATTAGATCATCTCTCTCTATCTTCCTTGTTTCCAATTATTCCTTTTTCCACCTACTGAGCATTTCGTTTATTTTCGTATCTAAGTATGCCTTGATAATTATATGTATGATCAGTGTTCGTACTGTATTAGGTAAATACAATACATTTTTCTACTTAACTCCTCAGTACACTAACGAAATTTTCTTCATTATTTATGATGACTAACCAGATTATTGAACTAGTCTATGTTATATTAAAAACCAATGATAAAACCGGACGATACATATAATAACCAATTAATATAGTTTTTAGGTTGTTTCTATGAATCCCAAATTGTTTATGCATATCATCGTTGGGTTGAAGATTTAAATAATTTGAGTTGGCTAAAAAAATATCAAATCGTTTTTTTTAGAAAAAGTATATATTTACACGTGAGCTATTGGAAAGGAATTCAGTTGATAGGTTGCAAAGTTTACCGTATGCGATAATGATGATTAAAAACAAGAAAATTGAAAGTTCATTTTTCAACACATTTTATTATTAAGCTGATGTTTATGAGTGAATTTGTTTTGTTTCTTTTTGGAAACTGATATGCTAATTTTTATTGTTGTGTATAATATGGTAATCAACTTGTGTTTTGAATAGACAATATGTGTTACAGTGTAAATTTCTAATAATCTTAATTAATAATATGCACCCAATTGAAAACTTCAATCAAATGGACACGTCCCTATATGTCATGTATTATTCAAGAACGAAAAGAATGGAAATTATCATATTAAGTTTACGATGAACAGCGGTACAGATACTTTTTTATGTTGGTTGAAGAGTTTTGAATAAGTTGAGTCCTCCTGTACCAAATATCTATGCATTAATGCAAAAGTCTACATGTATCTAGTTGGGTATTTATACGACAGGTTTATTCACTTAATCTAGACAATGTATAAATTATAATTTAACAAATCCTAGAATTCCAATGACAAAATAGAAAAAAATAGTACAGCAAGGTGATTAAAAGTTCTTTGTAAAAAGTGTAATTCCCTCAATGCTGATAGAATTTTGGCAAGCAACATTTTATTTGACTTAGTTTTTCTGTTAAAAGGGATGATTAAGTTCCCTGCAATAATCCTATATTATGTTCCGTCGCACCAACACACATTTGTGCTGGTTCCTACGTTTTTTAAAATTAGCTGAATAGTGGGTTATTTTTTTTATACTGAGAAGCAAAGGTGTATACCCTAGTAGTGTTCTTAATCAAGTCTTGTTATGTTGATTTAATCTGCTTATTAGTAGACATTAAGTAGTATTCTTTCAATAGGCTTGATGAAGAACCTTGTGAGTGAATGTGTGAATATTTTCTTGTCTTTTTAGTAGTTTATGTGTTTCAAGATGCTCATATGTTTTTATTTCATGTTTTCACTTCGATTACGTAAGAAAAAAGATAGGTAACTTCCGAATTATAAGTTATATTCCTTATCAATCTCCAAACTCGTATTAATTATATAGTTGAAATTTCGTTTCCATTCTTTTCTCCTCAGTCTATTCATAATTCAATCTAGCACACTAAATATAACTTAGTGATTATGATAAACTTGTTGTTTACAGCTTGGGAGATGGAAAAGTTCAAATCCACTGTACCTGGCTGGTTTGTGTAGATGTGTCTTCTGAGTATTATTTCCATTACAAACAGATACCATTTAAAGAACTATGGAAAACGAAAAAACACTTGACGAATGTTCCTTCCTATTTCGAAACTTACCTATAACCTTTAGTTCTCTTAGTTTTGTATCCACTTTTTATCGATTCTTGGTATTATTCATTAAGTTGAACAATTTTCTACAAACACTTACCTAGATAGTGATCATCTTACTTTTAATCTATTCAAGTTTGACTGAACTTCCTGATTTCTCAGTGAAAATCTGTAAGGTTTGCTCAATGGCAAATGAATTATCAATTATGCTGCCTATACTCCATTGCAAATGCTGAATATCTCTTTAGTTTTAACTTGTTTGTTTAATGCATCTTTGTGTATACACACTTTGTATCTATTAATTTATATTTCTTATTTGTTGCCTTATGATTCGGCATTTCATAAAAGTTTTGCATAAACAAATACAGTACATACATGTACTTCATATTATATGATCGTTTTGAAATTCATTCAGCAATTGGTATAGTTAAATTCAAAATAATTCACAACATATTTGTCAGTTTCCTTTATAAATCGATTCATCTGAACTACTTATTCAGTAAGAAATTAGAATAATCTTTTTCTCATACATATCGTGTTAGCCTCAAGTAACCTCTGTCCTATGACGTTTGCTATAATCATCATCTGATAATAAATATTATGATGAGGTGGAGAATGAAGAGGTTGTTACGTAAACTAAGTAATATGTTGATGTATGTGATAGCAATAATAAACATACTGCCTGCCAACTGATAAAACAATTTTGAATTTATAGTGAAAATAGTCGAATATCTGATTAAAACTGTTTACATTGTTCAGCCTATGTATTAATTTACGTGGTCTTGTAAACTGTATGCATACTTTGAAAGTAATGTTTTCACTACAAGTTGATATCCTCTTAAATGAAAACCATTTAAATACTAGACAATGTTAAACGATTATTTAGCACAGTGCTGACTGTTTGTGTAACAAATTTACTGTTTTAGAAAGTCGAGAGATTCTTGAAGAAATAAACCAGGCAGTCACGTTCGTCGTAAAATCTTGAGTCCAAAGTCAATATTTTTGGTGACAAATTGTTAATTTTTTCTTCCTAATTCTTTTACGTAAGACAAACCGTAATGAAAATAAAATTATTTTAAAATTTCGCTCTCATCAATTTTGTTACGTTCATTTATACAATTATTCTAACTGTCCTATTGGCATCTGAACGCATACATTCTAACTTGTATATCATTTGCATACTTTGTCTTCAAACAAAATAAGCTATTCGTTGTTGCACTGATAGTTTGCTTTATTTCTTATTAATCGAATAATCTATGCCATTTCAAATTTCACTGTTAACGATCACGTTTATATTTGAGTGGTTTATACGTATCAAGCTTGCTATGTAAGCTGATGAAATGTAGGTTCATCAATTTTAAATAATACAAGTCTGCATAAAATACCTCATTTATTAATATTCATTTCAAATGTAGAAAATTCAATATCCATTGTAGTAGACGATTTGGATTTCGCAAATGACCTAGCTCTCCTAGCCCATACGCACCGATATTTGCAGGTCGTAACAGCCAGTGTAACAGCAGCCTCTGCAATAGTAGGCCGCAACATACACAAATTAAAAACCCACAAATAAAACACCGAGAGCTCCAACTCAATCACACCTGATGAAGCTCTGGATGATCTGAGAACTTTCACGTACCTGGCCAACATAATCGATGAACGAGATGGATCTGTTGCCTATAAAAAGGAAAGGATTGGCAAAGCAAGGAAAATATTCCTACAGTGGAAAAACATGTTGAACTCAACTCTATTATCAGCTAACATCAAAGTCTCAGTCTTCAATACGAACGTCAAGACAGTTACATTGTACAGGGATGAAACGCGGAGAACTACAGCCATCATCAAAAGGATACAAGTTTTTATAAACAGTTGTTTACGCAAGAAACTCAATGTCCATCAGCAACAACCAACTATGGGAAAGAATAAACCATTTTCCAGCTGATAAGGAAATTAGGAAAAGACGCTGGAGGTGGATAGGAAAGTGCTAACTTGGGATCCTGAAGGGAAAAGGAAGAAAGAGAAACCTAAGAGCACATTGTATCGAGAATTGGGAGCAGACATGAAAAGGATGAATAGCAACTGGAAACAACTGGAAAGGGTTGTCCAGAAGAGAGTTCGACGGTTAATCCTGGTGAGCAACCTATGCTCCTCCTAGAGTGGTAACAGGAATAAGTAAGTAATTCACAAATACATATATAGTATTGTAATTTGCTAATATTGCCGGATTATTCATTTTTCTTTTTCAATTTTGTTTCTTAAAGGCTGAAAATTTATTACTTGATGCTGAATTGAACATAAAAATAGCAGATTTTGGATTTTCAAATTATTTTTCTAATTCACAAAAATTGGATACATTTTGTGGTAGTCCACCCTATGCTGCACCGGAATTGTTTTTAGGACGTAAATATGAAGGTCCTGAAGTTGATGTTTGGTCATTAGGTGTAATTCTATATACATTGGTTAGCGGTACATTGCCATTTGATGGAAAAAATCTAAAAGTGAGTGACATTTTTTGTAAGGATTTTTGAATTTTTGTAATCCTTGTCTTCATTGATGCATGTATTTTATTTAACTTTTTCATTTACCCTATCATTAATTAAAAAATATTTTTCTCTTATGTTTTTACTACAAATGTGTTATTTTGATTCATTAATGCCCAACATTTTGTTCTTGCGTTTCAATTCTCTCTATGTCCATGTTTCGTACGTTCCTTTATTTCACTTTGAAGGTAGACAACAGATTGTGTAGTTGAATGTTAACTAGTGATGTAATTAAAGCAAAGCGTAAAATTTCCATCTTCATCTTGGTTAACTTTGCATTAGATTGTTCAAACGCGTTCATGTATTCATTCTTTTTGTTGTAATTTTCATTTTTGACTATCCAAAGCTATTTGGAATCCACTGAAGTTTGAAATGTAAGTCATTAGATGCCAACTCATTGGTATGAAATTTGAAGGCTCTCTATGAGAGCTAACAGTCCTTAGACCGACCCATTATGGGGTTGTAGAGGCGTAATGTAAAATTATATTCCTATACTATGAAAACACACCTGGGTTACGCTACCTGGTTTTCAGTATTATCTCGATTGAAATGAACACGACACTATGACTAAATATAATTATTTAAAAATTCAAATTTTGTAGATCATTTAGATGTAACTGTCAAATTTACTTACTGTTAACCATAACATAAGGGCAGTGTTTTATTCAGTTTTGTCGAACTTTTTCTTGCTAAAGTGTTGTACCAATTTTGTTTTGTTTTACTAAGAAATGGCGACTAGTGTTTTATTTCTCTGGGGCAATATACTATATATCAAATTTATATTTGAAATAATTTCAGCGATTGAAAATTAAATAATTTCAACGTTTCGTCCAGCAAACTTGTATGGACTTCTTTAGGGTAATAATCAAAATCATCAAAGAAATATATAGCGTTTAACAATTAAATGTAATCTATACTGTGCTAATCTAATCATATTTAAACTTAAGTAAATAGAATATCATGAGTCAGTTAAATGCGAATCATGTGGAAAGTTCACGATGTAAAAATAAATAACTGAACAAATTGTGTGTATGCATGTATGTGTAAGATTGAGTTATTAGTAGTTGATATCAGATGTTAATGTTTTTATGTGATGGATTAAATAAAGCAAAATAAAAGTACAAGTTGAAGTTTGAAAAAATGTTTCTGAATCATTGATGTGCATGTAAAATGAGAATCATCAGATACATAATTGTATTGCTAAAAATAGCCCACATTAAGTTCAGTCAGAATAACGATGCATGTGAAATAAACAGGTTGGATAAAGAATGGGTCCAATTACTTGTTAACGAATATTTGTCAAGTAATCGCTAGTTGAATACCATCCTTTCTTGTTCGCCCATATATACAACGCTTCTGCTGTTGATCTTTCTTTATGAGTGTTAGAACCTTTCGGAAGTATTTTGGTTCCTTCAAAATAAATTACGTGTCCTGTTCCCAAATGTGATTTGATTGTTAAACACTATATATTTCTTTGATGATTTCGGTCATTACTCTGAAGTAATGACGACAAGTTTGCTGAACGAAACGTTGAAATTATTTAAATTTCAATCGCTGAGATTATTTCGAATATAATTTTCACATATTATGACTTCTCTATACTTGGCGCTCAATTTTTGTTAAACTATTCGTTTTAATATTGACGAATATTCGTATAAAATATACTAGTATAAATTCAAAGCTTAGACCTCATGCAGGATATATGAATATGTGAACACTTCAGAAAAGTAATTCTTGAAATATATTAGAATTACTCACTTAGAAATAGGTCCTTTTTTAATCGCTGATATCAGTTTCTAAAGGAAAGCTTCATCTAATTTAAGTTTTTAGAAACCCAGCTATATTGCTTATTCAATTTTTTTAAATGTAAAGTGGTTGATTAAACTCTCTACTTGTAAAGCTGTGAACGCATTAACTTTTTACTGCTTGATTTAATTGCTACAGGAACAATTTTAAGGTATACTTGATGTTTTGTGGCTTTTTATTGTCAAAGGAATTTAATGACAGTCTACTTAATTATTGCATAATTTTAGTTTAATTCAATGCTCTTCTATGTTAAGTCTCAATATTCTCTTGACAAATCAATGCAAAGTATAAACCATTAATAAATAAATTCTATACCTATATGGAAGATAACTAACTTGTTTTTTCAATACTATCTGAAAGTTTTTCTTGACTCTAAACTAATCCATGCTCAAGCCTTTGTTTTTTTCACATTGTATTTGGTGGATCAGTTACTAGGTTCACTGCAGTCATAAATGTTTTCTCCCTAAAGAATCACTTTTTTTCAGCAGCTACTAACCCGTTACAATTCACTTTACGATGCTGCATTTCATCCTTATCCTTTTTTAGAACCTGAGTCACGAAATCTTCGTGAACCATTTCGTTCTATTTTTTCTAGATCTAATTTTTTCTACTATCAGTGATGCGGTTACTTCTATTACTCTCGAATTTGTCTCGAAATAATCGGATCTCGCTTTGCCAGTGTTATATGGCAACATGAACTGATGCACATATGTGTCATGCTCTACATTGGGTACAGCTAGCTAATTGAAATGTTCAGTTCACATATTCTTGCTAATAACTGATAATATTCCCGAATATATTTAGTTCATATTTGGAACTTTAATCGTTTAAAATAGTGCTACTTTTTAGTTTATACGAATGATTTATGTTTCGTACACAAGTTACTTATTTATTTACCGTCGGATTGCACGAAATCGTGCAATTTGTTACATTTGTTCAGTTTATTTATCATGTTATTTATTGTTATCCTTTATGGGTTTGGATAAGATGTTTTATACACTAAAAGGGCGGACAAGGTCTTGCTGCAAGTCTCAGTATTCATTACATCATTGTATCTATCAATTACTTTCTTTCACTAAATAGCCGTTCTTATTTTTACTTCACTCTTTAATTCACTTCTTTCTTAACTATTAATATATGTACAACTGCCGTCCATTCTATAGATTTTTATGTAAAAAAAAACTTTATTATACACAGTGTAGTTGACCATGCTCTCGTTATTATTTACGTTTGTCACTGTTAACTGTACCATTCATTTCTTGAAATGGTTTTATTAAATATCTATTTCGTTTTAGTGTATTTTTATTTTTATCATTACTAATTCGCTAAGTGATCAGTTAGTCAGTTTGTTTTTCAGTTAGTAAACAAATAAGTTAGTTAGTTAGTTATGTGTGAATTCTTCGCACTGAATGTAACTGTAAATGAACTAGACAGTGATCTGCATTTTGTTTGTTGTTTCGTATTTCAAAGTCGAAGTCAACTCATAAATTATTCAATATAACTTTTTTTCGTTCTGCATCAATCGCTTTGTATATGAGTGTGCATGTTGAAAAGTCTGCTCCGATTATTAATAAACATTAAAATACAGTTCATATAATGATAAATATTGAGCGAAAATGTTTTTTAAAATGACTTACTAGTTTGTTTTTCTTATAAGTGTGCTTGCCTGTGTGTCTTGCTTGTTATTTTGTATTTTCTACTGTGAGAAAAAAGTCTGCTTGAACATATCAGTCATATATATATATATATATATATATATATATATAGTCTCCTGAACTTCGATTATCTGCTTGTTACTTTTCTATTAATTTACATCGACGTTGTGGAATGTAAATGTTTTTATTACCAAAAAATTGTGTTTACATACAATTAAATGTCTTAGTAGCATATGACTATCATCTTGTTTCACAATGCTCTACTGTTTATTGATTCTGTCCCACATATATATTCAAATTCGTTTGGGCGGTTTTACGAGAATTATGTATAACCCAAAGTTAATTCTAATCACAAATGACATGAGGCGTTATTATCGTTGGAACTAAGGAAGCAGTAGAGTACTATTGGTACTCAGCAGTGCGTACTAAGGGTTGTATATAGTATCGACCTTAAGACCATTAGGTTTTGTAACATGTGTGGTCCCGTTCAGTTAATATGCCCCGTCTATTTGAACATATTTTATTGCCTCATTCAGCTAATGAAATTAAGTGACACTTATTTATTGTCATTCATGACTTAAACATTTCACTTCTCACCTTGTGCACTCATCCCGGCTACCTGCTGGATAAAACGTTGAGAACTATTTATTTAAATACTTACCATGTTAATTATCTAGTTTGGTAGTTCTGTGCAAATTTACTGTATGTCAAATGAATTCTTCAGTACAAAATATAATCAACTGAAAAATTAATGTAAACCGGAAACCATCATCTGTTTTCGTTCTGGTTTGAAATTCTCGTTACTTTTACTGTTGGTTTATTATATCTTTGATTGATGAAAATAGTTGAATAATGTTTTTTAATGTGTCTTTTGTACCGAATGTAGTTTTAAATATGTTTCTAAATAAGATATGTTCAAATATTTTAGCTTTGATATCATAGATATGTCTAAGGTTAATATATGCACCATCAAGTATTAAATTTGAAGCTATTTTCGCCCACTTATTTGACATACCTCACATCATACATAATCTCTAAACGACCTGACGCTTATATATCATACCTTAGTTACATTTAAATACATTTATGGTTGTAAATAGCTGATGAGAAACCACGAAATGTAATGAATTCATGTTATTCTGCCTCAGTTATTGTTTTGGCTTTATTCACATTCATAAAGGGAACCAATAGTTTTCACTCTGATGTAAAACAATACAGTGAAAATAAAGTGGTTCTTCGCATAACCAATTTTCTATAGAATGAAATCTAGGACAGTTGATTGATTATAGTTTGATAACTGACCTTCGAAAGGTTGCAATATATAAATTGTTAACTCTTTAGTTTATTTACGCAATATTATCTTGATTGTAACGATGTAGACTGAGAACTCATCGTAATCTGTTACTTGGTTTCGGCTAAGAATTTAGATTTTTCTGACAATAAGTGTTAATTCTTACAGGTCTCATATCAGATACCATGCGCTAAACTACATGTTAATAAGTGATAAACCGAAATATGTTACGGTATATATAGGATTTAAGCATTTCTGATGAAGCTTTCCCCTTGATTAACTTCATATATTACAGCTCACTGGGTTTAAGGGTTGACGCAATCTTGATTGTACACTTTTATACTGTTCTAAATCATAATGTTTTAACTTTGCATCTGTTGAGTTACTTAGTGACTTCTATCTTTAGTGAAAATATGAAGATTAATTGATCCACCACACTTTATTTGATATTGAATAAACTAACTAATTGAAAACGTATATAATAGTTTAAACTCACGACGTGAAATTAATTGAAAGATACTTTTTCTTCATTCAACTTGTACTTTCAATACGTTAGTATAGCTTGTTTGTTTTTTAACAGTTCTTCAATTGATTCCAGTTTGTGATATAGCAGAAAGCCAACTTTAAATTCCTATTTGTTGTTAATTTACCCAAATGAATTCTAGATCTACCCTTTTTTCTCTTTAAAAACAAAGAAACTTAATGTATACTGTTGATCTGACTGAAAAGTAATCTTTTCAGTAAACTGTTCTCTTTACGATAAATGTCAAAATGAATTTTGATTAGTTCATTTTTTAAATAGAATTTGATTTATGGCATGCACCATCTTATTATTACTATAAACTTTCGCAATTTTCTCACTTTTAGGAGAGATTTTTTATTCCTTGCTCTGATTTGTTTGTTTCGATATTTTTTGAATCTTCAATTCATAATTACTCTTTTATGAATATATATATATATATATATATATATATATATATATATATATATATATATATTTCAGTGATTGGCTTTTTTCATAGTTATTTATGAACTTTTCTAATTAAAAGCGTAAGATAGAGAAAGACGTAAGGATAAATTCTCGTTTATTTATTTCATCCCGTTTTTCAAATCAGTCTCTATTTATCCATCAATATGAACGGGGGTAACGATGCACATTCTATGCCCTCAACTTTGTTACTACTACAGAATATATTTATCTGGTATTTAATTCTATTTCTGCATCTAACTGTTTTTTCTTATTCGTTAGAAAATTGATTAAAACAAGTTTTCTAGTCCGTGTGTATTTATTATCAGTCGAAACAAGTACTCTGAGTTTATACAATCTACAAGTATAGGTCATTCCTACATTCATTTAAACATTGTTATGTAACCCAAAAATATGTTATAATGGATCATCACCTTTTTAACTGTAGGCCGGTTTACTATACTATTATGTTACCTGCATTTAGCTTTTTTTTCTACCAGACGCTGTTGTTGATGTTGTCTCATTGGAATTACATTATCTACATTTTTCTACTAGTAGCGTTGACATTTGCCTGAAGATCATTAAACAAAACTATTTATTATGTATTGGTGACATTTATCATTGGTACCCATGTGGATTTTAATTCATATCTAAAATGTAGTGTATGTCAGTATTGTCTTTGTAAGCCTATTACTTGTTAGTTAACACTTTAATAAATATTTTACTTAGTATAATGAATGATATAATGCTATTTTATTAAGAAATACTTATGTGAAAAGAGGTAGCTAAATGTTTGAACCACTAAGTTTTCAGCATCATAGATCTCAACTCTCCAGATGCAATTCGATCTTAGCACTTGGGTAGTATTACTAGTCCTTATGCAAATACTTCGATCATAGCTGGTAAGTTTTTTTTTCTTTACGAAGTAACAACGTGTTATTCAAATGATCATGTTGTGTTCAACAATGATGTTTTTATCTTTAATTAAAACAAACTTATTTATTGTTAAAGTATAAATACTTCATAAATATAGAATGATCGGCTGATTTCTTCCAGTGTGTATATTTTGTTAACCAAATGTATCTTAGATAAACGTTTCATTTCGATCATTTTTGTTTACTTTGTTTCTCTCAATTTAATACAAATATTAATTCGAATATTTCTATGAATTCGTCATATTTTTGTTTAAAACCATATAAGTTATTTTAGAATCAATAGAAAAGTTTACATACTTATCTGGGTTGGGTGTGTTCAATAATTTTATGACAAAAAGAAATGACTTTCTTTTTACCCTTTAGTAGTTTTAAAATACCAATTGAACTGGTACAAAATCTAAATTGTGTTTTAAAATGATAGGTCATGTGGAATTTGTTAAAAAGATGAACTTTTGGTGAAAATAGTAATAGTTATTCCCGGTGTGTAATAGTTTTTTGTTGAATTTTTTTTATAAAATCTTGTAAATTGTTTTAGTAGTTTGAAGTTGAATGAAAAGGACAAAAATCATGAATTCACTTAAAGTTCAATATAGAAATAAATATATTCAATGAACAGTTAATAGTACATATCATCATATCTTACCCAGAGTATAGCTTGAATATATATATATTCTAGTTCATTACAATTTTATTCTTGTAATACTACTATTAATTAACTGAAAAACTGTATCAGACAATAATTGAAAGTATTATCTTTTGTCATTATACGTTAATCTCTGAGTGTAGCCCCCAAATGCCCTGGTATGGTCAAGAGTGGGGACAGTCCGCTCTCCCTCTCGAAATGTTCTCACATGGCCACGCGTATATAGCTTCTGCCAGGGGGTCCTACTCAATGCCTTCTCGTGGCGGGGGTGGTGTTTACAAAAATGAGAGGACGAAAAGCGAATGTCCGGCGCTTTAACCGGATTCCAAACCAATGGTGCACATGGGCTCCAGTATCCTGTCGGAACAAATGACGTATGAACCAATTGTTGGTCACCGGCTACCATGGGACTGCATCTCCTTACGTTTCTCCACTGCCTTGTGGACCTTCATGTCGAAGGCTCCGAGTGTGGCCCCCTAAGATAACCACCTGCTTCGGTTTGGGCACCCGAGCAGTATCACAGCCCTCACATATATCAAATGAGATTTGTGTGGCGCATATGTATTTGGTGCCTAATTGTACCAATATCTGTGTTAAAATAAATAAAAATAAATAATAAATGTTGGTCTAAAATGGTCAATGTCAACTACTTTATCTGTTTATTTGGTTTGTAAAGACCTGACTTTTTGTTGCGAACATTCAATGAGACTATAATTAATGAGTGATACTGAAGTGGGCTTAATGAAATTCAACCGCTGATTAAAATCATAAAATTGTTGAAGATTAGTGCAAATAATCAAGAGGATTTAAAGTTGAAAGTTGAGGTTGTGAATTAGAGTTAGGTTTTTCATCATAAATTGACATCAGCTATGACCTCAGAGTGCTATGTAGCTAACGATGAATACGTTTAGTCCGAAAATTCATAAACTCCTATCCAAAATTTTATTGGTTCAACCACAAATCATAGTCTCGCCAAAAATTTTTACAATTGAGTTAAATGAAACAAAAAGTTATTCAAGTCTATAAAGCATTAGATGGCTATCTTTATTTACAATTTGTCACATAATCAAAGACACGCGACGAGAAATATTCCTTTAATATTTTAGAGTAATTCATAATTTCTACGGATTATTTACTAAAATCGAGATATTGTTGGCAAATATTTTGTCCAGAAGATCTACACTTTGTAGCTTCATGGGTATTATTTATTAAAGGATATAATCAAGCTATTAAAATTTAATTTTACTATTGTGGTCGTTTAACATATTCTTCTAATATCCTATTAATCTTTGTAAAATTTTGAATGGCACAAGATAACTAACTATTCATTTCTTAACCGGCGGTCTAAAATGAGGTAACAGACCCGTTTATTACTTCAGATCGTTTGTATTTCTGGATTTAATGGTTGCCTTTCATTTTTACTGATTTAGAGAAGATAATGTTTTAGAACTATCTTACTTTCGAATTACGACTTTTTTAAAATTGTTGTTGTGTTGTATAGTAGTGTAAATCTATGTGCAATGGTGTACTTTTACATCCCGAGATTGTACGTTCGTGTGAATGTGTGATCGGTGAGCAGATAAATCAACTAATTACCGAGGAAAGTTGTCCTCGTACATCACGACAAAATAATTAATATACATATTATGTAATGGAAAAGTAGACAAGATTACAACTCATTCAAAACGTGCATAATTTTTTTAGGTTCGTCATTAGTTAGTAACATAGAGATGTAACCTATCAAGATCACTGAATACCCATCATTGCGTTATCCAAGGATAGTAAGATAATAGCTTATACCAATAGAAAACATATTAATTATTCAAAAATTTCAAGATTAGCGATATCATTGTGTTCAAATTGTTTTTCTCTTTATCATGCATTAAAAGTTCTGAATAAATCGTTGAATTAGTCTTAGCTCATTAAATGATATTAAATGGATTATTCACCTAGGTTTTTCCTCACCTACTTTTCCTTTCTTATCATATTTTCAGGAATTACGTGAACGTGTGTTACGCGGTACCTATCGAGTGCCTTATTATATGACGCATGAATGTGAAATGTTACTGAAAAAAATGTTGGTCCTTAATCCAGCTAAACGTATTTCATTACAGGTAAAAACAATTATCTTACCATTCTATTCAATATTATTTTCTGATAGAGATAACCTTTTTTATATCATGTGTGTGTGCGCACATATTGATATTGATGTGTATATCTCTCTGATCTTCATAAATTAACATAAACGTGATCATGAATAATTCATTAGTGACCTTATAAACTTTGGTGGCAAACTACCATAGATTTATGGCATTAAGAAAGACCTGCTGTTTGTCTAAGGCTTTTTTCAATACACGATGGATTAATTTTCTGCTAATAATTTGTGTAATGCATTTTGTTTCATTTATCTTCAACTCTATATATATATATATATAGATATATATAGATATATGTATATATCAAACGTTAATGATGAAGTTATCGTTTCACTTAGCTTTCATACAAGCATAAAGTTCATAGATTAAACTTATTAGTTTATAATTTTATGGATTGTATTTCATTTAACAATCAAAACCCATTTATACATATTATTATCTGCTTTAAAAAAAGAACTGATTTCGGTGTTTTATTGTAATCACATTTCTAATTAATCTTGATTTCTACAGTTAAATTCATGAGTCGATCTAAACTAGAACACCATTGATAACCTGAAATTCTTGTACGGTCGTTTCGTCATAGTATGGGACTCTTCGGTAGTGCGCATCCACGATTATGCACGCGGGCGCGAACCCAGGACTAGGTTTTGCCCGTGAACGCGTAACCTCAATACCACTGAGGAGCCCCGTACTAAGACGAAACGGCCGTCCAGTACTACCAGGGTTTCACCGGTGGTCTAGCTTAGATCGACTTGTGAATTCAACAGTGAAATTACCACAGTCTCCGCAAATCCCCATACTGATAATCTTTATTTCAGTATGTGTTATATTTTGTATTAATCGTTTGTTTTTATTTGTTGAATTCTCACCTGTTCCGTGTATTTTTTTCGACTAATGTATAGAAATAAATATTAAAGTAATTAATTGATTTAAATTATTTATTTTGTTTACATATTTTCCTTCTTTTAAACCATCCTCTTCATAATTATATTTTGTTTTAAATAAATAAATTCATTTTATTTAAATATAGAATTGATTCAAGTATTTAATTAATTCATAATGACCAATTGTTAGGAGGAGTAAATTACTTAGATAAGATGGTCATAGAATACTAGTAATTGATCATTAACATATTCTTAAGATTTCTCTCGTATATTGAGACCACCGAGTGATTAACGTTAAGTTCAGTCGTAGGGTACTAATTAAAGTTGATATATCGTTTATTAAGATTGTCTAATCTCCAACGACTAATGTGGCTGAGATATATAGTACATATTACTCAACCACCGCCTACCTAGACGTGTGATGCGCTCTGGCGTAGAAATGAACTGGAAGCAATGTTAAGGGTGCTAAATCAATGCTCAGCATAAGTCTGTAAATTAATTGACTATTAGACTAAAGCATGTCCAAGCTACCCCGCCTTAGTTCAGAATCTATCACAATGATTCAAAAGCATTTACTTTTTATCTTCTCATACATCTTCACTATCAGAATTATTTTATTCTTTTTATCCTACAGATTCGTTCATTCTTGGATTATCTTCTCTGGGCCTAATTTTTCGACTGTCATTTGTATTATTACTACTGTTATTTTCTTCTTGATAATTTCTTGCTGCGCCTGTTGTGTGGTAACTTCAACAGGTGCGCGTATGCTCGGCTCTACATCTCTTACGATTGGTTGACAGATGTAACGAAGGACTAACGTAACTCTATGTCTGTAGTTAAAATAGGTTTAGAATTGTGTCCATAAATGAGTTAATGCCCCATGTTTAGACGATTGAACTATATACACGACTTGAGAGCACTTAATGCACATGTAAGCATAATCTCAAACATATGAATGAGCTATTAATTGGCAACTACGTGTTAATAAGATGAGCTCTATTGATCGAAATTTCATTTCATTCAATTAGTCTCCCTTTATGAACTTAACGAATTAAAGAATAACAATCAAATCAGAATGATTTGAATTTATTTGTCGTCATGGTTTCTGTTTTGCCATGTAAATTCTTAATTAAATTAGCAGGATGTATCGGACACATTAACAGATAACATAGCATTATATGATTAAAGGTGATGACCGTAAATTAATAAATTAACAGAGTATCACCAGTGATGATCTCTTTCTTTTTTTGAGATTGTTCAGCAAGTGATTTTTAAAATAACCGTAAGAGAATCAAGATAAAAATGATTGAGAATAAAGAGATCGCTAAAATAACAAATGTACTTCTAGCCACAATCCAAATACATTAAGATTTGCAAATACAACGCATTATCGATTCATTCGCTCGGTATCCACATATCCCAACAATAACTGACCAAAGTTCAGTCCTGGACCAGTAACCAGAGATTCATATAGACCTGAATGAACAAGTATCTTCCCAGCATATAAATTAATAGTTATTCGCACTCAGTGGATAATTTATCGGAGTTTGGATTTATAGGTACTGCATCTAAGTCTCAGTGTGAACATCACAGCAGTGAAGGTTAAATCAACTAACGTGTTCTAAATAGGACGAAACACGCATCTTGGATCCCACTGTTAGCCATATTATAACTCTATTAAATATTTATTTAGTGAATTTTTAAGTATTCGAATATATAATTTAGTAATTTAAACTAGGTTGTATTCATAACCGCCATATTCAAATAGGCTGATTAAAATCTCGTTTTTTTTATTGTTCGGCATTCTAAAACGTGAAATCCTGCTGTTAATTTGATTATTATTGTGATAATTCCGTTCAGTTTCAATGCATAGTTAAAAGTAGCCTAATAGTAGTATATGACGATGACGATAAGAACACTTATGCATTAGTTAATGAAATGTAGTGTATAATCAGTTCAAATATCCTTGCATACTTAGTAAATGGGGATTAGTTATTCACCACATTTTACTATTTTGTTGTATACTTTTAAAATGTAATCATTCCTTTTTATTATTTCTCATAACATGATTTTCCTACTGAAATTCTCAGAAAGATTTGTAAAACATAAGTAATTTTTAATTACTTCCTTTTTTAAAACCTTTCTTGTTTATTTGGATAAATTGTGTGCTGATTCTAAATAAGAAGTGTAGGTCGGTACACACCTACATATTTCATAATGACATTGAACTTGGATGCTGTGTATCCTACATTAGGTAGATCAGTCTTTTTGTTTACTGAACCTGTATTGTTTTATTAACTTTATTAAGCTTTCTATTTAATGAAATTAATAGGATTGACAGATAACTCCAAATTGGTAACGATAATCTCTAAGTGTATATTGATAGATTGTTATACAACTAATTGAAAGATCTGTCTTGTAAAGTTTATAAGTTCTTTAAGAATTGATTATTTTAACTTCAATGGTAGTTTGTAAATATTTTGTTTATTGAAATATTTTTACATGAAAAATATGTGGTTAATATTTGTTTCATCATGAAAACAATATTTTACATATATATTTCTACTTAATTATAGGAAGTCATGAATGATCCATGGATGAATCAGGGTTATGAACACAACATACTTAAACCTCATACTGAAGAGCCAGCCGATTATTGTGATCCTGAACGTATTGGTAGGTGTTCATTTAATTACTTGTTTTTTGAAAGAATATCAATCAGTAGCTTAATGATTAAAAACGTTCAGTTCTTCACAATTCTTCTTATATTTCTGATTTTGAAAAATAAAAAGAATAGGTTATTGGGTAAATCTCAATAAACAAATGACATTTGTAGTGATCGAACACACATGGGAAAGACCAGTTTACTGTTTAATGCAAAATTATAGAGTGCTTTGGCAAAATATGGAAATAATACGTTAAATACATAATTTGCACATCTTCCATCAGTTGTCGTTTACATGCTTCATGATTCTTTTCATTCTGTTGTTATTATAATTACTTTCTGCTTCACATTCTTTTCTCTTCAATTGAATCTTCTTAATCTTCTGCTTGCATGCATTCCACTTTCGATTGGTGCTACAAACATACATCACAGTGTCAGTGTGACTAATGATACAAAATAAATAAATGATTACTCACAGACTAACACTTCCGATCCCAAGCGAATAAATATCACAATGATCAAATTAACTGTGAACTTGCAAATAAGATACTATATTTATTTTCAATATCATCTACGCATTGCTTAATTCAATCAATATGACTAAGAATTATATCATCGATAGTTGGTGTAAATCTGACTACTACTGTTGCAGAGACTCCTGCTACACTGGTTTTCTTCATCTACATTTGTTAGTATGGGATAGAGGAGCTAGGTCATCTGCGAAGTCCGAAACGTTTAGTTGCATCCAAGCAGTTATTTGCATTCTGTGCTTCCCTTAAGACATGTAGGTCTTCATAACCCAGTCAACTATCAGAAGAGGGAGAAAGGGGGAGAGTAAGCATCCTTGCCCGATTCCGGTCCTCACTTGGCATGCATATGTCAGCTGTTCCCTATTCACGACTTTGCAGTTCAGGCCGTCCTATGTACTCCGGATGATAACGACGATTTTCTCAAGTACACTGTGGTGTCGAAGAAGTTACCATAAACAATAAAAGTAGTTGCTACCAATAATTGTAATTGTTAGTGTATGTGAACAACAAGTTGAAATAAAAGATATGTAGTCTGAATGGTAATCAAGAATTTTACTTACAGAACTTCTGCATTATAATAATACACTCAGAACAGATCCAAACTTCTGTGCATATTGTGTACGATCAAAATAACACCAGGATCCATTGTATATTGAGGGATCTAGCTAACTGTTTTTGTATAAATAAATCTTGTTTCAAGGTATGAATTATATCTGAAGATTTAGGAATGTTGGACAGATAACTTTTCATTATGCACTTAACTTACAAATATTGTCAAACAATGAATGAATATCATGAATCTATTACATGTTCCAGAAGACAGTATGTAATTTACCTAGGTTGCCTTTTGTCAAGTTATTTTGGAAGATGCTTTTGAATACAACGAAAATAAGGCCTTGATAACCCCCACCCCAACTCAAAAATGGCTTGTTTGTAAACTGAATTTTGTACTACAACATTGATTTTCTGTTTAAAATCCGTACTTTTAGATACGCTGAATCTTAGTTTGATGCTTTTAACTCAGTCAGTCACAACGTAAGACCAGGCACATATATGCATCGATACATGTTAACATATCTCATTAGCACAACAAAATGAACACCAAATTCATAGTAGTTACTTCAGTGGTAGTAATACATAAGAGAAAGATGGTGTGTAAGGAAGAAGGAATTAGTTCGTGTAAATAAAGGTATAAAACAATTTTCATCTCACCGTTTGAGGACAGATAAAGGGTGTATACACCGATGCCATTGTGATCGATTCTCAGCCATATCACCCAGAGTCTCCAATCATTGGTTGTGACAGTCACGTTGACCCCAACCAAGTAGTTTGCATCTACCAACATGGCTCAGATCAGTAGTTAGTGACTTCAAACACTGATGCTACGTTTCGGTTCGGCCACCCCTAACTTTCTTCCAACCATCCTCAACACTAGTCAGCATTTCACTTCTTGGTAATCGGTGGTCGTGCATACGTAACACGTGGCCCAACCATCTCAGTCGATGAAGATTTACCACTTCATCCACTGATGCTTTTAACTAACTACACCTTGCCAATAATTTTGGCATAATTTCATTTAACTACAGTTGTATCTCGTTATCGCGATATATGTATGGGTTGGACTTCAGGATTTGTATCCTTTTTTTCTAACGAAAAGTGACGAGAATTGTTGCCAGTGTCAATTCAAACATATCAATCATCCAAGACTATTTCTTCAAACTATGTCGTCATCTTAATATTCCTTTCACCCTCCTCCGAGACTACTACCATTATTATCATCGTCATCATCTAATCATTGCATTTCCACTATTTAATAAAGTAACAGTCTATTCTCGTGAAAAAAAGTTTGTTACAAATCAAATGATAATGATAATAACAGTTTGGAATTGTTTTTATAATAATTACTTACAATAACAACAAAAATAAAACAATAATTCGATAACACTTAACGTGTATGTATTGATTACTTTAACAATTTGTTTTTATTACATTCCATATGGGTTACTTACATTTCTATTCCTCACTGTTTTAATGTGTGTGTATGTGGACTTGCGAGGAAGCAAGAGAGAGAGAGAGAGAGGAAGAGGGAAAGATACCTAGTCATGAATCAATAGACTTTTTCATGTATGAAAACTTTCCACTAAAGTTAAGGATACGTAAATATGATTTTTATGTTTGTTTTTGTAAATTATTTAGATTATTTAATCAATGTTCTAGGTATTATTATTATTAATATCACATCATAAATTATTTTGTCAGATATTATTATTACATTATAAATAACTGGATTATTAGTGAAAGATAAGAGAACTGATTTCCTCTTTGTTAAGACAAATTCACTAGGGTAGTCAGAGTTGAGAACATGTTCAATTGATTGATTTTTTATTGGATTTTAAATAGCCCAACATAGTATTGCTTAAAAACACATTTAGAAAGAGCACACTTCATAAGAGCAATATAATCAGATTTAACTTTCAGCATTATATATAAAGTCGGACAATCCGATTTAATAGAGGTACGGGCCAGAGATCTATCCACAGTAGAATCGCTAGCAAACTTTTTGTTAAAACTAGATTTATTATTATTTCTCTTCTTTCATGCTAATGTATATATTTAAATTCTTTGAGATAGACAAAATATACTGTCAGTTAATTAGGTAGATCTATGCGTTAGACTGTTATTGAGATAATTAAGAGTTTAACAAAAAACTAATTTATTGTAGTATTTCGTTTTTGTTTACACTTACACTTATGTAATTATGACTGTTATTACATATATCAGATATTGATGCTAAATATCTGATATATGTAATAACAGTCATAATTACATAAGTGTAAGTGTAAACAAAGACTAAATACTACAATAAATTAGTTTGTTGTTAAACTCTTAATTATCTTCCGTGGAAGTGGTTGTATGCACGTGGCCATGTGAGAGCATTTCGAGAGGGAGAGCTGACTGTCGGCCGTACCAGGGCATTTGGGGGAACGCATGTAGAGTAGCTTGAACATTATAGCCGAATAATAGATTTCAAAATTATTTATATCATCTGGGATAATCTTCCCAAGCTACGTAGTATTGAGGAATGTGTTTCCAGATAACTTGGGTATTCCGATAAGCGAACGTTCATAAATAAGTATCTCAATTGTTATATAATCGGTTCCGGGTGACAATGTTAAAAGTTTTTCTACAAATTGGTTATTAAAGTAATAACTGTGAACTCATTAATTGACTAACTTCTAGATGAATTTTTATCTAATTCTATTGAGACTATTTCAATGTCATTTTTGTAAGAAACAAAACAGTTATCCGCCAATTTTATTGAAATTATTGGAATATGTATTCATTGGTTGCAAACATAATAATTTCAAAGCACAGTAGATATTGTAATACATCAATATTCTAATTTCCGTTTAACACGTAGCTTCATTGGTGTTAGCTGCTTATTAGTCAAAATACCTTTTTGGTTTTTATTGTTTTCTTAAGCTTGTGCGTAATTTGAAATGAATACTATTTTTGAGTTGAACAGATTTTCATCAACTGTCTATGACAAAGAATTAATATCGATTCTACAAATTTTTTCTGATTAACGTTACTTTATAACCGTAAAAGTCGTAGGGCTATGCAATCAATCCAGATTTTATGTGCTATCAGATATGTACTTTAAAATAATCCTATTTCATTTATCATCTGTTCGTATATATATATTTGATTTTTACATAATTATTTCTTGATAGACATTATGATTCGTATGGGTTTCAAACGCGAGGATATTCATGATTCTTTGACCCAACAACGATTTAATAACATTACTGCTACATATTTACTATTAGCCCGTTATGATCCGCGTGTTCATGGTCGGCTACGAGGTTTGCCTAGTACATCAACTACTAGTTTGAAATCGGATAGTCAGTCGGTACGTTCACGTCAAACGCCAGAAACACAATCTAGTACACCAAACACTTCAAGATCACAGTTTCACAATTCACCATCACATAACAGTTTAGGTATGACATCAGTCACTACTACTGGTTCAGTAACTTCACATTCAATGACAAATGGCGTTACCAGTCGTATTACTGATTCATTTGGTTTAAATACCAGACATGGAACTGCTGTTTCTCGTCCTAACAAGGATACAATTTCTGCTACTACAATAACATCTGAAAGTTTATGTACAGACTCCTATGCAAATTCAAATCCATCTACAACAAATTCAAACTCAAACAGTAGTACTCGTGGTTTTGCAAGCTCAGTGCGCAGATCTATTACTGTTTCCGGACCATCAGATGCTAATCAGGTGACAGCCCCTTTACCAGGCAAGTATTTTTCTAATCAATTATTTAAACCTTCTGAAAACTTGTGTAATGAAACGATTATTTAATTGTTTTTTCTCCTGTTTAACTGGTGTTTTCACTGTTTTCAGGTGTATTATTAAAATCATCGGTACTTCCTACATTAACTACTCTTTCACCTTCAATATCAAAAAGTTCATCACCCCCTCCACCGTCTCAAGCACCGCCATCTGATATTTCTCATCAGATACCTGCAACTCAACCTTCAGTTATTACTCTTCATCCTGCTTCTGTTACCGCTCATTTAACACTTGCTAACATGTCTAACGGACCATCATGTTCAATTCCATCAAACTCTAATTCAGTACCACCACTAGTTACATCATTTACACGACATAATTCTCGTCCACGAGCTGCTACTCGGTCATTTTCTATTCAACCACAAACTATTGCACCATTAGCATTAGATGAAGAAGAAATCGGAAATTCAATCAAAAATCAACGAATGCATAGTCGAAAATCTCCATCGGTTGAAAATAAAATAAATAATCATACTAATGGATTCATGAAAGAATTATCAATTTCTTCGACAAGTTCTGAAGATGCAGTATCTGATGATAATGATTTGTATGATAAAGATTCTGGTTCTGCATCACCGACCTCTGTAAAATTATCTCATTCATCTAATAAGTCACATAAAAGTAAACATTTTTATCATACACATAAAAACCACGCTTCTTCATTCGTGACATCATCAACAACAACACCGACAACAACGTCAACAGGAATCATAATGACACCGACATGTGTTACTTTAGCAGCTGCTCCTAATATTAATTTTAATCATAAAGGCTATTTATTTTCATCAAATGAAAAACAAACACCAGGTAAATTACTTTTCCTTGAAAAATCCATTTTTTTACTTTCTAATATCATTATCGATTTGTCCCTACCAGTAATTACACATTATGCTTAGATATTCATGAAAAGTGAATTGTTGTTCCATGAATTTAACACTAAACATTTCTAATTAATGATTTATATTAGTTCTCTTTCTTATGTTTTATGAGATAGTGTTCGCTAATAATAACTTCCTGTTGTTGATGTATCAAATAAATTTTCCTTACAGCACAGAGATTACAGTTTCATATTAAGTTATTATGAAGTAATCTGGACATTCATTGTGTGACTTGGGAAAGATTACTGTTTATACAAACAGTTATACTTGACATTTACGAAAACAGATGATGCATTTCAACCGTACAAGTGTTTTAACTTGACCTCTCTTTCTCAGTATATGTATTTATGTAATTGTTGTTCAACAGCTATGAAACTTGATTATGATATGGAAGAGGATTAAAAGAATATATGTAAGTTAACAATATGGAAACAATAGGACTATTAAAAAAGATACCCATAATTCACTAAGTTTTCATTGTTCAATATTTCATTTGCTTGTCTATTCACACTTGGAATACGTTTGTTTTGGTTATCGATTTTAAAATACACATATAGATAAACACACACACACAAAGTACCTATATTTACTTTATAACTATGTCCTTTTATTTTACATCAGTAGAAGTAGTGGCAGGAGTAATTTACTATTTGCTAAATTTTTTTGCCTGTATAAACTTTGCTTAAGATAAGAAAATTATGACTATACAATCAAAAACCTTGAATAACACAGTGTAACATAGATGCATCTGAATTCGGTTGTTAGGTATGCTTTCATAAAGTATCCATGCCATATATTTTTTGTGTTTTATATATTTGTTTTGATGTTGGTTGTTAAATTATGGCACTTTTAAAACTCGTTTCAAATTACTACCAACGTAAATGACTTTGATAGTAAACAAATTTTGTATTAATTTAATAGTCGAATTCACCAGTCAATTGAAGCTAGATCACCATTGAAATCCTGAAAGCACTGAACGGCCGTTTCACCCTAGTATGGGACTAATCATGCTTCCTCAATAAGACTGCCATTATTAGTTTCCGAAGTCTGTCACTAGTAACCACACAATTATTATTATTATGGATGAGTAAGTATTAGAAAATGTTTTATTTATGAAAATAGACATTTTCGTCAGTCGACTTCAGCATTATGCTTTTTTATATGCTAAGACAGTAAATGATATGCCATATCGAAAAATGTTGATCTAGTATTCTTTTCATAACACTAATCATCTTTATTATCGAATCATTCTCACGATTTATTTTCTTTAGTCAATGGTAGTTGTGAAGATACATCAACTATGAATCATGTCCAGCATCGAGAAACATCACAATTCAATCGGTAAGATCGGTGTATATAAAATAAAACCTATATACTTGCGTAATAATCAAATGTTTACAGATGAATATTTGTGATAAAGTTATCGCATTACACATTACATTTCTTTTTTATTTATCACGTTGAGATGAAATTGGTTACACATGAGTAAAATGGTTCAACCGATTGTTATTGATAAGCCAAAATAGTAAAACAATTCCTAAAGCTCAATCCATATGCTAATATCATTACACATATTATTTTTTTATTTGACAGTGAACATATTACTAATGAATCACTGTCAAACTGTAAAAATATGATTACATTAAGAATTTTCATGTTTATAGTTACATACAAATTTAATGGAACTTTAACACCATAAGATGTACAACAATAAATACAAGCTAAAAATTATATTCGTAAACCTTTGTTTTTCATAAACACTTGATTGAAATAGCTAATGATCGATGACAAATCGTGTTATTTTTATAAAACTGATTAACAGAGATAAAAATATGTAAACCTTATCAGTGTCACGGTCATTTTTTAGTTGGATACGTATAAATAAGTACGATTTCCAAGTATCTTTGGTCCCAAATTTATTAATTTTTTTTTTCATCGTGTGATCCTTTGTATGATGTCGTGATCACGAAGGTTGTATGTGTTTCTTTATGCCAATATTTGATAATTTGTACTATTTTCTATCTTTAGCGCTACTCCAGTTCGACGCAAATCAATTAGTACAACGAGACCTAGCTGTTGTAAGTCGAAACATGCTATTTTGTTTATGTATGCTTTTTCATGTCCTTATTATAGATATCTTCATTTTTGTGCTACTAACAATTTGTAAAGTAGTCTTAGAGTTTTTTCTTCATTTTGTTTTATTTGTTGGTCTAAACCTCATTTGGAGAAATTATGGTTAGTCATTTTCTTTTCATTTCAGTGACAAACACTACATTGACAGTGAATGCAAATTCGTCACCGTTCAATAATTACTCCTCAATATCGACCAATAACGATAAGGAAACTACAACTAGTTCTACTGTTTCTTATAAAAATTCAGTTAATTCAACAGTAGCAAATCGTGTTAATTTATTTAACAATGAATTAAATAAGAATAACACATCGTCTTTAGATATTGAATCAAAAAATGTAAATAGAGAACAAAATCAACCAAGTATTTATCCTAAACCACGAACAATGTTTCGTTATCCTCCTAATGCTGCAGATATACTAAAGTATGTTGAGGAATTATTTTTTGTAAAAAAGCAATTATTGTACTTTATCCAATAGCTTTTGTAACAGTGCTTTGTTTTGGTAATAAGATTATCACGTGTTTTTTCCGTTGTTGTTAAAATATATTTACTGCATAAGGTACTCTGTTATCAATCGAAGAATTTCAATTAATAATAATTCTAATGAATATGAATAGTTTATAACTTTGTCTATGTTTGAATCCATCTCATACTGGTAATTTTCTGTACATTCCAATGGTCTTCATTTGATTCCACATATATTTCTTTCTTGTAATTCATATATGTTTTAATTCGAAATATTTAGAATTACAATACATTATTGTAATTTACAAGGTACCAAATTATAATTGAGTTCAATTAAGTGTGTTTTTAGACATTTTAATTCGGTATAGATAAATCGATATTGGATTTATATCACAGCTGACAATTTATTTCTTGTTAAGAATTAGCAAACATTAATTTATCCTCTCATTGAAATTCGTATTCAGTATTGATGATTTTGAAATTTTTTTAATCTGTGAAGTATATTATTAACTAGAGGAATTTTCACTTGACCTGACTTACTTACTTACTTACTTTCGCCTGTTACTCCTAATGGAGCATAGGCCGCCGACCAGCATTCTCCAACCCACTCTGTCCTGGGCCTTCTTTTCTAGTTCCATCCAATTCTTGTTCATTTCTCTCATGTCTATTTCCATTTCCCGGCGTAATGTGTTCTTTGGTTTTCCTCTTCTCCTTTGGCCTTCAGGATTCCATGTGAGGGCTTGTCTTGTGACGCAGTTGGATGCTTTCCTCAATGTGTGTCCTATCCACTTCCAGCGCTTCTTCCTGATTTCTTCCTCCACTGGGATCTGGTTTGTTCTTTCCCACAGTAGGTTGTTGCTAATAGTGTCCGGCCAACGAATCCGAAGTATTTTGCGTAGACAACTGTTAATAAACACCTGTATTTTCTGGATGATGGCTTTCGTAGTTCTCCAGGTTTCTGCCCCGTACAGTAGAATTGTCTTGACATTTGTATTGAAAATCCTGACCTTGTTGTTGGTTGACAGTTACTTTGAGTTCCAGATGTTCCTCAGTTGTAAATATGCTGCTCTTGCTTTGCCGATCCGCGCCTTCACATCTGCATCAGATCCACCCTGTTCATCAATGATGCTGCCCAAATACGTAAAGGTTTTTACATCTTCCAAATCTTCTCTGTCAATTGTGATTGGATTGGTGCATTCTGTGTTGTATCGGAGAACCTTGCTTTTCCCTTTGTGTATATTGAGACCTACTGCTACTGAGGCTGCTGCTGCTACACTGGTCGTCTTCTCCTGCATTTGTTATTGCGTTTGGGATAGAAGGACCAGATCGTCTGCAAAGTCTAGATCGTCCAACTGCATTCTAGATGTCCATTGTATCCCGTGTTTCCCTCCAGATATTGACGTCTTCATGATCCAGTCGATCACCAGGAGAAAGAGAAATGGTGAGAGTAAGCAGCCTTTCCTAACACCGGTCTTCACTTCGAACGACTTTGTCAACTGTCCTCCATGCACGATTTTGTAGTGTAATCCATCATATGAATTATGTATGATATTGACTATCTTCTGAGGCACGCCGTAGTGTCGAAGAGGTTTCCATAGTGTTGTTCTGTCCACGCTATCAAATGCCTTTTCGTAGTCAATGAAGTTGATGTAGAGTGATGAATTCCATTCAATAGATTGTTCCACAATGATCCGTAGAGTTGCGATTTGGTCTGTACACGATCTATCCTTACGGAATCCTGCCTGTTGGTCTCGAAGTTGGGCGTCTACGCAGTCCTTCATCCTGTTTAACAATACTCTGTTGAAGACTTTTCCTGGTATTGAGAGAAGAGTGATGCCCCTGTAGTTATCACACTTGCTGAGATCGCCTTTCTTCGGTATTTTGATCAGGAGTCCTTCTTTCCAGTCTTTTGGTACTTGTTCCCCATCCCAAATCTTATTGAAGAGAATGTGGAGTATCCTTGCAGTTACCGCTACGTCTGCTTTTAGTGCCTCTGCTGGAATGTTGTCTGGTCCTGCTGCTTTGCCACTCTTGATTTGCCTGATGGCCATGCTGATTACTTCAATTGTTGGTGGGCCAACATTGATTGTGAGGTCCGTGGGTGCTGCTTCGATATTGGGTGTGTTCAGTGGAGCTGGTCGATTTCAGAGTTTTTTGAAGTGTTCTACCCACCTGTTTTGTTGCTCTTCAATGTTGGTGATTACCTTGCCTTCCTTGCTTTTCACTGGTCGTTCTGGTTTGCGGCGATTTCCAGAGAGTTTCTTTGTCGTGTCATACAATTGTCTCATGTTTCCTTCTCTTGCAGCCTTTTCCGCAGTCGTTGCTAAATCTTCCACATATTTACGTTTGTCGGTTCTGATGCTCCTCTTCACTTGCTTGTTTACTTCTGTGTATTCAGCTTGTGCCTTGGTTTTTTCTGCTCTTGTTCGGCTGGTATTGATTGCTGCTTTCTTGTTCCTCCTTTCTTGAATCTTATCCAATATATCAACAGTGATCCATTCCTTGTGATGATGCTTCTTGTGGCCCATGACATGTTGAAGTGATTGCCTTTTTGATCCCCTTCCAGTTGCTCTCCATAGTAGTTCCTTCTCCATTGAGTAGATCATGAAAGGCTTGGACTATCTTGAATTTGTTGAGTTTGTTAGTATCTTGAAGAAAGGCCGTATTGAACTTTTGTGATATTGTCCGCCCCGTTGTCCAGTGCTTCTTGAGTTTCAATTTCATCTTGGCGACCAGCAAGTGATGATCTGATGCTATATCAGCTCCTCTCTTGGTTCTCACGTCCTCTATAGTCCTCCTGAACGTTTTGTTGATGCAAATATGGTCGATTTGGTTTTGCGTGGTGTGATCCGGTGAAGTCCATGTGGTTTTGTGTATGCGTTTATGTGGGAATATGGTGCCGCCTATGACCAGTTTATTGAAGGCACATAGATTTGCAAATCTCTCACCATTTTCGTTCCTTTCTCCCAGTCCGTGTCGTCCCATGATGTCTTCATATCCAGTGTTGTCCGTTCCAACCTTGGCATTGAAATCTCTCATCAGAATGGTCAGGTCCTTTGTTGGGCACTTCTCGACGATTGACTGCAGCTTATCGTAGAATTGATCTTTAGCGTCTTCATTGTAGTCGTTGGTAGGCGCATAGCATTGGATGATGTTCATTGAAATGCCTTCTTTCTTTGTTTTGAAGGAGGCTTTGATGATCCTTGGTCCTTGAGATTCCCATCCTATAAGTGCGTTTTGTGCTCGTTTGGACAGCATCAATGCAACTCCTTGTGTATGTGGAGCATTTTGTTCTTCATGGCCGGAGTATAACAGAAGCTCTCCTTAAGTTCGTCGTTGTTGTCCAACTTGCGTCCAGTGTGTTTCACTAATCCCAAGCACCTCTAGGTTGTAACTCCTCATTTCTGCAGCGATTTGGAAGGCTCTTCCGGTGTCCCACATTGTACGAACATTCCATGTGCCTAAATAAATGGTTGCTCTGGTTGTCAGAAGGGGCATCGGCCTCGTAACTTCCGAAGGAATTCGGCTTTCATCATCAGGCGTCATAGTTCTTTTAAATGAAGACCTTCTGACTCCCGGGGCAGAGTTTAAAAGGTTTGAGTAATTTTTTCTGGTTAGCGTTTTTTTAGCGAGTTAGTTTTCTACGGGATGGGGTCGCTAACCCCATGCCCAACCCTCCTCCTTTATCTGGGCTTGGGACCGGCAGTAGCCCCCGGAGGGACTCCAGGCGGAGCTGACCTGACTTGGTGTACTTTTATTTCGAAAAATTATTCTTCTGTGACAAAAAAGTGCAAATTTGACGAGATTGCTAGGAAAACCAGTAACTGATCGGAATAAATCAAAATTGTATCAGAATAAGGAGTAAACTCAGTTTCATATTCTTGATATTCTCATGATAGCAAGATTAAATGACTTGTCAAAGATTGATTTGTCGATTGTCTATATCAGAAGAAAATATACTGTGTTGACTTCCAAGTTAAATTAACTGTTCTCCAGGATATTTACATAATTTATGATAAACTGAAGAAATTTCAGATTATACTTGTACATTATTGGAATATTCTCAAGCTCACTCAATTGAACTTTGAAATCAAGCAGAAAAGTGAACGGTGATCTGCAGTATGAAATAAGATCTTGTTCGTGAACCTCTAAATTAAACTTCCTACTTCAGACTTTTGGCAGATGTTTTTAAATAGGATTTTTTTCTTGCTAAACTTGAAACATCCTTCTATAGGTTGGATTCGATTCGTGAATCTTCTAGTCTTAAGCTGTTTTTTTAGTCACCTGTTTAGACTTGGCAGTTAACTGGTTCTTCTGTAGCATACCTTATTTGTCCCATAAATCGTACTATTACTGATCGTATTATTCTGTATAGTTATTCAGGGGTAAATTTAAATCATATAACAACTCATTTACTCAGAATATTATTACTTCTGACTACACGTTTTCACCAGTATTATCTTTAAAAGTCATCTACAGGAGCAAACTACGTGATTCAAGGAATGTGTAGATCACAAGTATATCGACTAGTCAATTTAGACAAAACTTTCTGTTAAACTGTGATATTTTCAATCTATTATGTCATTATCACTTTTATATTCCACTCGTTTTAATTTGCTTATGTAATTATTACTTGTCACTAATTGCTTGTTTTTCGTTATATTTATTATGATATAACCGTGTTACTTCTTGTTTAGTAACAAGCTAACTCAATGTTATAGTTCTAAATATTATTGCACCATTTTAGTAAAATAGTTATTCTTGCTTAAAACGTTTCCTTCAAAAATTTTCGTTTAATAACAAGACTACATTTATTTACCTTATTTATTCATTACCAATAGATTAACTTACAATATTAAAATAAATAATGACAAACAAGTGTTTGTCAACTGGTATTTTAGATTAGAATAAAGAAAATAAAACTATGAATTCGGTAAGCTTATACTGAATTCAAAATATTGTATTACAATTTATTATCCAGTAAGTTGAACAGTCACATTACATGTAATGAAACCCCTATATGATATCTGTTTGAATTCAGCAAGAGTTTGAGTAATATTTTTTTGTTTAGTTATATAATTTTATGCAGTTTGGAAATCTGTTCCTCTATCATGATCGTCTGAGTAATCATTGAAATTTACACAGCAGTAGACAATTACTTGATCATTCCGGTTTTGAGATTCTTTTAATAATTAGAAACCGCAATTGTACGCGATATAAAAATGAGGACATTCAGGATTTTGCAACAAGTACTACACCTTTAGATAACCGAGATTAGGGGTCCATATTTTGGCATTTAGTCGATTGATGATATACAGTTTGATCTTCATATTATGTTACCGATGTGTCACTATTTCATTCTTGACTGAGGCAATCCTCTTGTGTTAAATACATTTTGTAATAACAACGATCACAAGCTTCACATCTGACTTATTATTTGGTTTAACGGAATCAGAGGAAATTTAGATAGTGTTTAATACAGCTCATTTGTTATATGCTTACAAATAAAATACCATACAATACAGTACTTTTTTTTTACCTTATATTGATTAACTATTCAAAATGTTCAACAAAATAATTTTTATGTCTAATAAATATGGTAAATTTTGAATTTTATTACTTCTTATGTATCTCTCGTGTTTATTGTTATTATTAATTATCCAGTTTTTATTTATATTCTTTTTTATATCTTCTAGTGAATCTAATCCTTTTCGATTAGTCGATAATACATCAGCAACTGAGTCGTCAATTACACCACCGACTATCCCACCACATAGTTCTCGTTTACCTGGAGGAATGAATAATACAACAATTAAACAGTTCAATAATAACAGTAATACAAGTCAAGCAAATCAATTTTTAGAAGGAATAACAAACACAAGTACAGTTAATAATAGTATTGCTCCAATTAACTCGTTCGGTGCTACAATAAGGCGTCCTACAGCACCTGTCCCACAAAATACTATTGTACCTAATTCATCTGTTTCTATTAATCCAACAACACGTACTTCTTATGCTTATCATTCATTAAGGTACTTATTGATTTTACTCTCCCTCTTTTTTTTGAATATTTTTTGGCAATAGTCCATAGTTAATACATTTAAATTTAAACAATAAGCTGTGTAAGATTTCCACATTAAACTTCTAATCATCATTTGGTAACTTACCCAAAGTTTTGATTCAGCAAAATCATTAGGATTTTAATAGCTATGTATTTTGTAATAAAAGTGGTTAACCAGCTGTGTTTTGAAGCGTTGATTTATCAGTTAGTTGCGACGTGATGATTCACATTTCAATTTATCGTTTTTCTATCTTCTCAGAATGAGTACAATTATCTAGTATCAAGATGACTTATTCCCCAGTTTTTTATAGAATACATTAAGGTAGACTCGATAATTGATTCCGCACACTTTGTCAGTGAATAATTATCTATACGAGAAATTTCTCGTAGCTATTTATACATATTTTTTAAATTTCTAAGCCCATGTTTCATCGCCTCAAAGCAAATCAGAGCAAATTACTGTTTAATGTATTCACCCTTTTATAGACAGTCTGATATCCGTCCTATTTTACAATTAGTGTATGTTGGCGAAATCATAACGAAACGTTTGAATCTTTATCGAAATTTCGTCAGTTATGAACTTGTCAGGATCGATAAAACTTCCAAAATGAATGAAATTATCAATGCATTCGACTATTGTACTATGATTTGAAACATTATAACGAGAGAAAAGTAACTTATAGAGGGAAGTAAAAGAAGTGTGTAAGATATCGTAAACTGTCTCAGAGTAATTACATTTACTTATCCTACACATATCGATTATTGGATTTAAGTTGTGCCTTCAGTTGGCAACCACTGATTTCCTTAATTTTATTATATTTGTTGATTGGATGAATCAGTAAAAAGTCAATCCACACCACTCAAATTATTTTCACAACTTGATCAATAGATCAACGCTTTTTTACTACTTCAACATATCACCATTTATAAAAGATACCTTTGAGATCAGAGTACCTGAACTCTTCTCATATTTTTAAATATCATATGTACATGAATGATTAAAATTAGAACTGTCTTTTATTCTCTTGGCAAATATTTAACGATTTCATTTACAACCCTCATTGATGTTGACCAATGATTAGCAATCTAACAACATATCGATAATGATGCCTCTTCGATAGTCAAGCCGTTTTAGCTGATGCAAGCATCCGAATATATCTTTAAGTTTCTAAGATAATCATAGATTTATAACAATCGAAGAAAAAGATGTTTTTCACTGAGAAATTATGAGTTCTTTCCGAAAGTAACTGGCTCAAAACTTACTATCTGTTTCAGAAACGGTTTTGACACTTGATAGTATTTTTTTATAGGTTGCAAGACTGACAATTCGTATTAGAAACCGATGTAAATTATTGTTCCCCATATTGTCTTTAAAATCTTTAGTCAGTAATTGAAATGAGATAAAAAGGCAAAAAAAATGATTAAAATACAACTTGAACTGTATGGTTTTATAAGTACATAAACAAACTATCAGCACTACTAAAAGATTAAAAAAATGTTACAGTACATTAATTTGAACATAACTGTTTAAACCATGTAAGACACTATTTAGAATTATTTGCGTCTAATAATATCATCAATCAAGTTAACTATATTTTGGTTAGGATAATATTCACTGAGATACTTATGTAGCTTTAATTCGTCGACCCATTTTTTTTTCTAGATTGCCATCTCATACAACTGTTAATAGTTCTACTAATGAAATTCTCTTGCATCATCAACTTGGTCGAGTAAATAATCAATTAGTTCGTCCATCAGTTACCTCCTTATGGTCTAATGGCGTTAGTGAAATTGGCTCAAATCAATCACCTACGAACTCTCCTTATACAACTGATGCGACAGAGGCTACTCCAAACCTTCCATTCAGCCGTAATCTACCAGAACGGTCAACAATTCAGCATGTACCTACCGGAAGAGCCAGGGAACGTCTTGAAGGGACATCGGGTGGTCCACGACTTGTTCGTCACCCTGGAACACAAAGTATTGCTCATCCAACTAATGAATCTCACTCTCGTACGTCAGCCGGTAGTTCGAATTTTCCTACCCCAAGGCCTAGCAGTCCTGATCTATCAATATCCTCCGGAACTTCATCCGCTTCCACTTTAAGTCATCACGGTGATCGAACAGATTATGATGAAGAATCTCCAACACCAGAAAATGAAAGACATACTGGTATTAATCAGAGAAGCCATACTATTGAACCCTCTATTCAACCACTCACTCGAAACTTTTCTGTACGTCCTTCAGTTAATCGGTTGGAACATGAATCTATTCACAATCATTCAAATACTAATGGAGGTATCAACAACTTTTTTCGTACCCTAACAACTCGTATATCCAGTAGGTGAGTGGTGAATGTATGATATGTGTTATTTTACAATAATAATACTATTACATACTATAAGCATACTTATTTTAATTTAGTCGTTTAAGTTGGATGAACGTAGTTGTTAAAATTAATTAATTATATTTCTTGTATTATGGCTAGCCATGCTGTTAAAATATGTAAGGTTACAATGTGGCCATCAGTCATAGATTACGTAACCAGCGGCACGTCCCTTCTCACATATATTCATCATATTAACGTCTTGTATGCTGAAATAATTCCATAACTTTTTATTGACTGTGATTCATGTAGTGTTACCACACATACTCTTCACTTGTACTGATTTAATTTTTGGGATAAAACAGTTCATACACTCATTAAAAGTCTAGTTTGATTGGTAGTGTGTTAATTATAAACAAAATACTGATACGTTTGTAATATATATATATATATATATATATATATATACATATATATATATATCGTTCTTCACCATACATTTCTTATATTCCTTCTAATAGTAACATATACACACAGTTGAATCTAGAGATGAATGGAGATTTATAAGATTTTCGAAAGGTGGGGATATTATACTGACAGATTTTGTTGTCGAACTCAACTCCACATATTGAATTCTTTCTGGTTGACAAAATTACATATTTATTATTACTTAATGGAAACTTTACAAAATGTGTGTTGTTATGTATATTAATAGTATTTTTCTTCCTTTTTACTATATTAAGTGTTTTTGATAAAGAAATTTCAGGACTTACTATCCTAGAATTGTATAATATTCAGTTAATCCCATCGAAAGATAAGTTAATTTTATGCTACAAATATGAAACAACTCTCATTATTATAACTAGTCAATCAGTTGTATATTCCCATTTATCTAAACAGAAATTTTTGTCAAACTTGATAGTTTTTTTGATAAAGTGTTCTGTCCAAGTTATCCAATTTAGTAATTATACTCTGTAGTGGTTGTTGAAGGCAGAATAGACTGAACAGTAAGGACTATATTCTATTTAGTTCAAAAGTTCCACTAATAAGATCCATGTAAATATATCACTTCTAAGGGAAAAGTCCGAAAGAAAATAATCTTGAAATTTACCATATGATATGATTGATAATAATCACTAAATCTCTCGCTGTATAAGTCATTCGCTATCCCTGATTTGATTAGCCATGAAGTTTTCTTCTTATAATAACATTCCACTCAATACCGTCGTGTCTAATTGTTCACTAAGCATACGCCATCATCAGGCACTAGATAAATTCTTCAATTAAAAAAAAATAGTTTTTGTGTACATTTTGATCAGTATAAAGAATTTATTAGTCGTAAACTCCCATTAAACCTCTGTTTCTAAGTAGCATGACTAAACACTACTACAGTGATCGATTAGGACTTTCAGAATAATCAGAAGTATGTGTTGTAAGAATGAAAATTTAGAGATTAAATTTACATGTAGAATAGAAATTACTATAGTCAGAATATCTATACACATTTTGTGGGTAAATTAAATCGAAGATTTCTATGTGAAAAATAATTAATGCATAATTGTTTAATATTCTGCTCGTATGTGTATGCATTATTTTCATATAAAATCAACTTAATGCTGACTAGTTGCCAAGTTTATAATTTTGTAAAATATTTTGTCATGTATGTTTCAATTTTTGCAGCAAACTGTTTCGAAGGTCCGCCGTAATTCAACCCGGTTTATTGGCCACTTCTCCTGAGAACAAGGCATCTAATATGAATGACCCCAATGATCCCGACATGAGAATGGCACCCACAATGGAGCTTGATAAACTGGCTGTCGCATGTGGAAGTCCTCCGCCAGAAACATATCACAAAAACAGTTCTATAAGACTTCCTCGAAGTCGAAGTGGAGTCACTCCACATCGGGTCACTCCTCAGGGATCTCGAAGACTAACTGATTTTAGCACAGTTACTGTTGATGAACGTTCAAGTCGGAAGAATGCAGATGCAACAGAGACTCTGAATCGAAGAAGAAATAAAAATGAAATGAATTTAGATGTTACTGGATCTATGAATCGGAGACACAGTCCATTCTCTCGAGATTCTCGTTCTCAGTCAACACATCGTTCGTCATCACGACATGACGATCGCAGTAATTCAAGACCTACTCCTCCACCAGTCCCAGCTCGTTGTGCAGTTGGGATACCTTGTTCAGGTCAAAATAAGTCTCCTTCGCCAGGAAATGACAATTCAATATCGAATAACGGTGTATCTGATACCACTCTTGGACGAACACGTAGTTTGCGATTCATGTTTCGCAATGAAACTGCTAGTCGACGCCAAATAGAAGAAATGATGCTCGATATAAAACAGGTTTTAACTAATAATAACATCGACTTTGAACAAGTTGGTGACCTAAAATTGCAGTGTGCTTACGGTGATCCTTCACGTGGTTGTCAAATACCAAATTTGACAAATCATAGCCAAACATCTAAAAACTCTAACAGATTATCTCGCTTAACCGATAAAACAGAACATGGTGTTGTACATTGGGAAATGGAAATCTGTAAGCTTAATCGAGCTGGAGCAAATGGAGTACGATTTAAAAGAATCAGTGGATCGACATCTGATTTCAAACGTCTAGCAAATAAACTTGCCTCTGATCTGGAAATTTAATTGAAAAACGCATATATATACATATTCATAGATATACAGAAATTATTGCATTTCACTTTAAGTAGCTATCGTTTGGGTGATAATCAACCCATTTTGCTGTGTATGTTCCAGTTTTGTTTTGTATGTATATTTAATACTTTAATTTTTATGTAACAATGTTCAGCTATAAATACAATTTGCCATCATATATATATATATATCAGCCGCTTGATACTTTTCTCTTCTATTCTGAAACACCAATAAATAGTGAAAATTATCTTGTGCCTGAATCTTGCAACACTATTAAGTTGTGTTTGCATTTTCTTTTGTCTCATTTAATTGTATGAATTAATTCGGGATTATTTTGACTTAAAAATCAAATAAACAGCTGATTGTATGTCATAATGATGAATGATTTCAAAACATTTTTATGCTATATCAGTTGAACTGTAGAAAAAACTATAAGCATATATTTGTTTACTGGTTATCAGACAGTTCTTTCTTTAGTAATATACACCTACTGTTGGTCACTGATAATTGTGTATTATTCTTATTCACTTCTATTTCCTTTCTATCTTTAATAAAACTAATGGAAAATAATTTTAGGCTGAACAAGAACATTTGAGTTTAATATGGAATTATCAAGAAGAAGGAGAAGAAGAATTGAGAAGGAAAAGATTTATACCTTTATTTCTATTGTTATAAAAAATGGTATCCGATTTTTACTATTAAATTTCTTCATTTCACTTTCATTATCTTATTATTTCTGTCAATTAGTTTTTTATTCTTATTTGTTTCTGTGGGTGTGTGCATGATGATTGTTTACTGATTAATCAAGGATTTTTTTATTGTTTTGCCCTTTTAACGAGGATCGGTCTTTTGTTTTTTTTTCGCTCTTTAATCCGCACATACCTGCATACACATACATAATCATATACAAATGAACCTGAATTATAGCAGATGAATTAGCTCATAATGATAATTTTGAAATTAACTTGATCTCGATTTTTCTAAATTAATGAGAAAAAAATTTATTCACTGATTGAATTATTGAAAATATGCTTCGTATTTCTGCTCTTCTGTTTTACTTACTGGATGGGAGTTTGTAGAAACTGGTATTTGTATTTTTTTGTGACCTGTTGTTAGTAAATCCAATTGTCATGGAAAATAATATTGTGTTTAATGAGGGAAGATAAATGTCGAATCAAGGGTGTTTAATTAGATAGAATCGTGGCTATCAGGGAAATCTATAATACGATTTTCATTCTGTTTGGGACTCGTCAGCCGGATGAAGATAAATCTCATCGTTCGTGTCCGTGCCAAAATTTGAACCCAGTCTGTCTCGCATCAAAAGCTTACTCACGATTCACTGAGTTACTGAGTCCAGATAACAAATAACTTGTTCGTTAGTTTAACGAGTCCCAAATAGAACCTGTAGTACACTGCTAACCATTATTCAACTTTACCAAAGCGTGTTGCTAAATATTGATATCAAGAAAATCTGCTTAGGATGCATATATTTTAGTAAAGACTTGTCAGTTCCATTCCTCAATACTAATAATGGGAAAATACATACTCTTGTTGGCAACAGTGTATTTAAGGTTGTTTACAGTGACATAAATGTTTGTACGTTTCATTGGTTGCTCGTCTTTAACTTCTTTGAAATAGTTTAATACTGAGGTATTAAACGTTCTGAATTGCGCATTCACTTTTCGAATCCAAAAGAGTTGGAAAATAACTCGTCATTCGAATATAACGAATTTGTCCTTCTTGCACAGAATCTCAATGAAATCCATTGTGGATAAATTTTAATCAATCCACTGAATTTAGTGTCGTGAATGACATCAAAAAAAATTGAGCAGAAGTCAAGCGTTAACTGGAAGTTTGATTATAAAAGTAACCGTATTCGAATAAATATGGTATACCAATAGCATCACTTCAAAATATTTGACTTGATATGTTTCTCATTTATCTGTATAATTGTTTTCTGAATAGGACTGTCCATGCCTGTAAATTGGTATGTGTTCTGTAATTAGATTCATAACAGTTTCTGGCGATGGTACTGTCAAACTCACGCGAAAGTAAATTACATTCCAGAATGTCAATTTCAATAGATCAACTTAAATGTATTTTGCAGCAGCAACAAAAAGAATTTTAAAGCATCGTAATTGAAAATGATGGCACAAAAGCTTTTAATTCAACAAAATTCAGTACAGGTGTCCGAATTAAGGGGCTTGACTACCGAATCACTGATCAACTCAATGGGCGAGTTTCACTTTGATCCTGATACTGGTGTTACATTTGAATCATGGTTCAGGAGTTATGAAGACATTCCTCAAGTTGTGTTTCCTCAACATGATGACTCTTCGAAGGTGAGAATTGCACATCATAAGCCTGGAGTAGCCGAACATAAAAAGTATTCGAACCTTATCTTGCCAAAACATCCAACAATTTTTCTTTTGATTCTACTGTACAAACATCAACGACAATTTCTACTAATCAAACTTCTTTATTTAGTTTGCGATATAATTGTCTTAGGACTGTTAAGAGACCTGAAGATGACTTTGTTTCATATTCAGCATTTGTTAATAAGTAATTCAAGAGTTTTAAGTTGCGTTCACTTTCACGCGAGTATTTATCGATTAATGCTAATGATTGTATTATCACTTTACAGTTGGACACTGCATCCGGTATTACTTTGATTTCTCCCTAAACTTGGTCGGTCAAGCACTCATCCTACTAACGATTGCATAAAGAATGCATCGGGCATCTTAATCAAATGTACAGACAAATTTAATGATCTAGTAATTAAATCCAAATGCCATGTTACCGATGAAACTTCCAATCTATTGGATCTTGACTAGATCACAGAATTACAAACGTTCGACCATCCATTTAATCTTATTTGTAATTCAGATTCAAAAATGCTCGATTTGCCATGCAATCGTATTTGCAATCAAGTATGTTAATATGCCCATATGATGCACAAATGTAGGCAGGATTTTTTTTATTGATTCTCAAAGTGATCGCAAGGTGAGGGCACGATCGACGAAATCACTAGGAATAAACCTGAACCAAGCCTCGCTTAAGGGTATCTCCTCTTCTGACTCAATGTTCGGAAGGAAGACTCCGACTTCATATGATAACATACATCCACAAATAAGGCGAGATTATAAACTTGAGGCTGAGAGAATTGAACATCAGTTTCTTAATAGGCAACATGTAAGTCACATCTGTGACAGATGATTAAATTCAGATAAGGAAACTCCTAGTTCAAACCTGCAGCTAGATACAGTCACTTTAAATCATTAGGATCAGAGCGGAAGAGGTGATGGCCAGACTAGACGAAAATCATCAAGAAGACGATATTCCCCTCAGTGCCTTCAGTTCAATCCAAGGAGCAAGACATATTTTTCAGAAGGGAAAGGTGATATGGAGAGACAATCAGAAGTAGCCTAGTGAAAAGGTCATTCGATGGTAATCAGCAGTGACCTAAAGGACAAGTTCATTTCATTGACTAAGAAATGGATCAGTTTCCTAAGAATTAGAGTGGTATATATATGAATAAGTATTTGTGCATTTTATTCGTTAGCCGAATACACTTTCTCGTTTACTCTTGTGTTCTCGCTCAAATAGTCATTTGGGAGGTCTGCGCATAGCACACCGTGTATCAGCACCAGACATTTAAACACTACTCATCGCAACAATAGTAATTTAGTTCGACTTAATACATACGATTTGGGATAACACTTTAAAATCAAACCTTTTATTCATCAGTGAAAATATATCTCATAATCTTTAGTTAACCTTCTGGCTAGTGAGACCAATTAGTTTCTAACCAGAATGAACATTCAAAAAATTTGAAGTGTCTCACTCCATCGACTGTCGTTTATATATTTTGGTAACTCAGTGTTTAGGCAGTTGTCATAGATCGATAAGCTAAAGCTTGACTCATTGAAAATCAATACAATGTTCCAATCAAGAAGAGAAAAGTTTAAGTAGCATATTTTCTCAAACAGATGATGTTTCTAATACAAAAGTTTTATGAACTAGGTAGTGAAGAACGGTACATCGAATCACATTGATACTAACTTGTTGTTATAACTTGTGGCCTTGAGCCCTATTAATATATAACGTATTGATGTCTACAATTAGAGAACGGTGATTTATCGACTGAACCAATGACGCATAAACCAGTACTAGCAGTCTAGAGTCTTTATCGGTCCTTCTTCCTGCCTAGCCCTGCCCGTTAAGTCCAGAACATCAATCTCAGCCTCCGCTATATGAATCATGTATTTCAAACATACTAGGATTATATACAGACCACATCGTACCATATAATAGAAAATAACATTGGTATACGATCTAGCCAAAAAAGGCTGTGAATGTAGGAGTCTGTAATTAATGGACTAGGCATAACTCAAGAACGGTAATCGTGTAATAATAGTTCACAGGTCAAAATAAAGCTTTTAATAAGAGGAACACGAACATACATAGTTTAGCTAATTAATAATTATACAATAAAAACATATATATCGTATTGGTCCATAAATAGTTCTCAAGAGTTACCATTCATAATTCTCGTCCGGATATAACACTTGTAATTTCGTGATATCAAGGTTACTCGAACTTAATTGTTTGTCCTTATCTGAAACAGATAGTTTGTGTTTTAAGTAACAAGTGGTCCACTACTATCTTTCTCGTTACTTCAAAATAGCTCAATTTCACCACCAAAAAGTCTGTTTTGACGCAAGAAATGAGTACTGTCCTGTGGAAACTATTTAGCTAACCACGGTAAAACTTACAAAATGCTCTCAACAGTATCTACATATCTCATCGTATCTCATAGATGAGCTCCTAATATCATGATCATTGTGTAAGCTCAAAAGGTCTAAAGAAGTAAATGCATGACATTCTCCTGAGATAAGAATTTCAGATTCATCCTGGTATAAAATCTCAAAGCATACAACACTTGGATGTTCATTGGATAATTCCAGTATTGGAAAAAACCTGGAGTTTCGTTCTACATTTGAAAATCACAAAGTTTAAACGTAAATACTAAATAGTTTCAATGTCAACTTGTTCTTGATTATATACAAGAAATATTCCAGCATTACTGTACCTGTATAGAATTAATCAGTTTCATTCTCCTAATCTTAATTAATACCTAAATATTGCAATTTACAAATTTCTTTACAGAATAAAACTGACAGATAGATAAAGAGTACCATTTTGTTTGATGAATCATACAGAAATTCCATTATAATAAGTAAAATTTAGTTGTTTCTGTTTCCTAACAAATTTGATGCTATAATAATTACAAATGACATTTTCCAGAAACTCGGAATGTTTAATCATACTTCCTATGATTGTTTACATCGTAAGGATGTTTCGTTTACATTATGTTAATGTCTTATACTATGTATGTAGATTACTTGAAACGCTAACATTTGTTACTAAAATGGTGTGTTGAATACAGTCAGGGACACAGCAAGAGCTTTGTAAATAATGTATCCGCTAACCGAGCTTGAAACCCATGTATTTTCAACGCAATTTGTTTAATATATCCCCAATAGATTAGTGTACGGATACTCAATAATGGCTCTGACATTAAATTGTATCTGTTCAAGATGCCATACTTCACATTATCAATGTGAAGTATAAAAACTTGAAGTGAAAGTATTTATGACATTAACAACAGAGAACTATAAACAGAATCAAAATAACTGCGAAAAACAAATGAATAGTGTAAAAGAAGATCTGAAACACAGTAACAATAAGTCCTACTTTAAATAATTGTAAGCAATACCACCCTCCCTTCATTTCTTAATCCATCTCATATCAGTAAGCTATATTGGTTAATACGTTTTTCATTGAAAACTCATTAGATCATCAAATTCAATTGTTAATGTAACTCAGATGAGTATAAACTTATGTATCCGGTTTCAAATCAAATTTTGCGTGATGATTACTGATGCTGCTTTAATTAAAGTACTCTGAAAAGGGTTCGAATTGAAGATGGCACAGGTATTCAGTGTTTGACAACGCTTTTACCAGTAACACCTAATATAACTCGTACCCACCAAGAGAAATCAAAAGACAGAATCGAGGAGATCAGAAGTTGTATTTGACGATTGCCAATGTGTGGAGATAGGTCTGGCAAGCTTATTTTGTAAATAGTTTTTAATATTATTTGTATTTGTCAATTTCTCACCGCATGTACATTTATCATTAAATGATTGTACCTGTTGTTTTAGTAAATGACCTTGAACACTTTTTCCGTTGTGATACTAACATAGCGTGACACACTTTTGGCTGTTCGCAAATAGACTACTACACACACACGCTCCTTGTTCTATTCTCACGCGTTATCGAGCTAATCGCATTCTAAATCGAATATTATCCACATTTTAGACTGTTGTGCCATTTCTATTACATCCTACGTCAAAGAAACTTACTGGAGTCATATTTACTTCATTGGAGTCATTACTCATAATTGTGGATTTTTGGGACCAAAACTCAACGGAATACGCAACAACTAGCCGATTTAAGTAACGTCCCTGAACTTTTATTTTGTATTACTAATGTATAGACTGTTATTGTTACATTAACTTTTGGACGTAATAACTTTATCGCTAATTTTTGGTCCACCACAAATGTATCGTAATTGTCTGATCTAGTCTGGCTAGCGATTGCAGTAGATGTTGAGCACAGCGTCCCCACACGTGATCGGGTGAGGATGCACGACCGAGAGCCTTCTGTTAGGTGAGTCCATTAAAACTAATCTGGTCAGCATCCAATGTCGAAAACTTACAGAGCTATTTATTTCGGGGATTTATTTACCGCTACAGAATCATCGACTCAGTGGGTGAAAGGTGAACCGATTAGCCACTAAAACCACGACTCTCATAAGTTGAACTGAAAAGTAGTGAAAACGTAAGTACTAAATAGGTATCAGCTCGAAAAACAGTTCACAACCTAACTCATGGATGAGAGAGGTTTGAAGCAAGGATCTGATGTTACGATAACAATATTAGACACTCATTTAAAAGGTCATGATATAGGTCTAAATTGATTTCACGTCGGCTTTATTATGATTAACAAAATGTATTTCAGAAAGTTGAGAGTTCATATAAGAAGAGGTATGAAAAAAATTATACTTTAATTCGATGAGTTATACTAAAGGGTTAAAATTGCACGCAAGAATAATACAAAGTGGGGATGTGTGCCAGTTAACTGACACCTTAATTACGATGGTAATGATAATAATATTAATAATAGTGGTAATAATAATAATAATAATAATAATAATAATAATAATAATAGAAACAACTAATAATAATGATTATAGGAAGAAACAATAATATCGTATAAATTAAGGAAATTGGTGTAGTGTGGAATGCTACCAAATGGGGTCGACAAAATTCTGCGAGAGGGGATCAAAAGTTTATAATTTGTACCGTCAGGACCAGTTGAGTTGAGAATCGGACAACTGTACTGTTATTCCAAGGCAAACGAAGAGGTCGAATATGTATCGTCTGCATACATAAGGCTGATTTATTTGAGTCCATACCGGTGACTGCTGTACACGGCAAGAATCGTAAGCCACTTAGCAAATTACAAAACGAAGAATGGGACTACTCACAGAATTAACAAACCCTTTTCATAACCCCACCTGGATGTGTTGACGAGCACTCAAGAATAAAGCCATGTGAGTATAGCCTAAGCAAGTAGCTCCACAGAATTAATGAACCTGACGAAGACACGTTGATGTGGCCATCACTGGTAACTTTCCACAGATTGGTGGGATCATTAGCTGAGGCGAAATATCATTTGTAGGTATTAAGCGTGATTTTAACAGGTCTGTTGGGTGAGATTATGACACTACCTATACCACCTTTGGATCGAAGTCTGGATTACAGAGCTCTCTTCACGAATTTCCTTGCTGTTTCCCGCAAATTTTGATAAACCTAAATAGAGTATCTTCATTAAGACACCCTTGACATTAGTTTCAATATTTATTCGCCTATCTTCATAACATATACGTCTTAATAGTGTCGAGTTGTGATCAGTCCCTATTTACATTCTAAATGTATTCTTTCTTATTGAATCATTCAATTTCGGGAGGATGTCAAGCCTGAAGTTATTGAGAATTATTCACCAAAGTACTGTTTTTTTTCAAATGATCTACAATGACTATTAACGTTTCTAAGGAAGATCAACACTAACCCACTTTTCCTCAGATTCTGCCATATAATCTTCCACACCCTAAACGATACACACAAGCTTGTTATAAAAGTTACGTATTTTAACTAGACTACTTGGGAGTAATTACTAGTTATCAATATAGGGTTGTAGAGATTATTGAATTTTGATTGAGATCACAAACTGATCAATGTTAGACCACTGAAAACCTGGGAGCACTGGACGGCCGTTTCGTCCTAGTACGGGACTAAGTTGACGTTGTGTTCGATATTTAGTCTTCACGTAACGCCTTCAGCAAAGATTTCCCAATGCCTCATCCAATTAGTCAATACACATGGTTTCTTGAAAGTTGGCAGCTGAAGTAGGTAATTTTCGCGGAGCTGCGTACTTCGAAATGGATGGTTCAATAGTATTGTGGTGTGAGCTACTTATATTCATATAAGTAGTATATAACGTGCGTTAAAAGAACGTAATGTCCGGCAGCAGAAGATGGCGAAGATCAAGAAAGGAAGAGCAAGAGCACAATGGAATTGTAAGAAAACGCATGTACAATGGAATGGGCGACAATGGATTAGTGTTTGCAACGGGAACAGTACAGTTTGATATGATGGAATGATATTTTGCAAATTGACGATTGACTTTATGGTATTCACATTTTATTGAGATAGTCTGTAATTTTTGTGCTAAGTACAGTCGATTGTCCCCACCCGTGTTCTTGTTCACTACATTTGGTGTCGCTGCCAACCAGGGAGGAGGAGTGTGCTGTTCTGCGGACGCCGTTGCGGGCCTGGAGTTGAGGTGCCAGTTGGGGCAGTCTGGTGCGGAGAGGTGGCGTCTGGTGAAGTGTCCTGGCGGGGCTGCGTTGGCTAAATGTCCCAAACTTCATTTGATTTCCATTCAACTTGAGCGCTCAATAGAAATTTTAAGATTAATGTTAACACTGTTCACATGAAAACTCCAGCATATGCAAACAGTTCCATTAAGGAATCAGTAAACAAACAGTTAATATCTTAATATAATCACCCACGACAGCGTCAGTTGAATAGTGAATGAGAAAGCACTGGCATGTTAACAGTATCACTAAGGTTAGTCTGGCCATTTTTACTCAAGGTCCAGTGTAACTGTAAGGCAAAAAATAACGAATAACCTCGCTTCATATCAACATAGCTACAGGAAGTTACCCTTATGTTGACCTGTCATCCGAGAATGCTACTGTTTTATACGCTTCCAATAGACGTGACCAAACCAGCTACTGGAGTAAGAAAGTCAAGTGTGAGTATGAGGCTGCTACTGGCGAAAGAAATCGAAAATGTATCTACAAATCATTCGTAGATACAAACAGATGTGCCTCAGGAAACCAAGTTGCCTATAACGTATTTCTGCATCCGCAGAAAGTCCAGTCAAATCATAACCAGTAGCGTACGCCTGCCAGAACCCCAAATTTATCATTTGCTCTGATTCTGATTAGTCCAGAACATCAGTTGCTAATTTTAAATCATTTTTCTAACGCATGTGAAATTTCTAGAAACTCAAGGTATTCAAACCTGATCCAGGAAACCAGGAATAAGATATTACAAACGAAATAAACGAAAAACATTAGCATTACATATTTATTTTTACATAATCTAATATTAAGAAATCTTATTCATCCATAGACGGCATGAATTCTGTACACTCTGTGCTTGAAACATTTGGCTGTGTGCTCGGTATCCATGTGGCAAAAGTTATGTAACCCGTATGACCCCGCATTTTAGGCTACGAAGTGTAAAACAAATGTTCATTAACAATGAATTATCATAGAATTATGAGCATTAGAACAAATAATGTCGGAAATAGTAAGGACTAGGGAATTATATACACGATTATTGTAAAACGTAATGAATAGTGCATATATCATGAACAAACCTAATGATACTAGTGAAATACAACTAATTAAACATTAAGAGCCAATAATAACACATAACATATACTACAGTCAATAGCTGGAAACTAAGTTTAAAAGTAGTTAACCGATTCCGCATGCAAACACAAGTTTTTATATTGAAAAGAGAGCTATACTATTGTGAGCAAAATACCTAATATATTGCTACGTTTGAAGCGATTACGAAATCACCTAAAACGGGAGAACGGAACGGAAGTCAGTAACACAACAATAAGATAAGCTAAACTATTCCACTACGCCCCAGCCCTGCTAACTGGAGGGAGAAGACCAGAATCAGCCGAGGGAAATGCATATTGCGCGAACAGTCGGAAGCACGAACGAACGAGCACACAACTCATGTGTATATATACAGCACGAAAATTTCATTGGAAAACTTCACAAAGTAGTGTACTGAAGGAGGAAACAAAACAATGACATTAAGGTCCTTTCAAGTGGGAAATATAATTTGAAGCCCAAAATGGGTGCTCTTGGCAAGAAAGTGAGAAATCCAAATTTTTAAAACAAAATTACAAAAATAAGACGATTAGCGAGTCATTTCTGGAGATCTACCATCCCCAAAACCCAGCATTTTTAATAGTTTGCTCTTGGGGCTCACTTGCATCTTGACCGTTTTTATCTCTGTTGTCGAAGTGACTACCTTCTGTGATGTAGATCGATTTGTTGCTGTACTTCTTCTTGCGTAGAGACTGAGGGAAGGTTGAAGGTATTCAACAGAACTTCGAGTAGGTGATCTGGAGCTAACCATTTCCGTAGCTGGTTTCGGTGTCAAGTCTACCTGTGATTCAGTTCAGGAGTCGTGGTTTGGGTCCTAGTCTCGAGTGCACACCAGATATCTAACCTCGAATGTTGGCAACTTCCAGGACCTACTCTACGGTGGTTGTCTTCGAAGGCATCGGGCTGTGGATCGTCCTCAATCTTCTCATGAGGATCTTTGCTGGGGACTTCTGCTCTGGTAACGTATCATTTGGTGTCGTTCGATAAACAAACAAGGAGTTTTATAGTAATTCGACTGGCATTCCTTTCCCTTTTGACTCAAGTAAAGCACTCTTAAAGGTGTCCACAAACCTTTCTCCTTGGACATTTGATTGTAAGGGAGAGGGAGGAAATGTTTGATGGCTAGCCGTCGGCAGAGTTCGTGGAACTGGTTGAAAGTGAACTGCGAACCGTTATCTGATACAATTACACCAGACAATCCGTTCAGGAAGATCACCGTCAAGAGCTGCAGCGTTTTGATCGTCGTTAGTGACACGATGGGGAGGATTTCTGGCTATTTCGGAAACGCATCAACTACAAATATATAAGTAGTTCCATTGACTGGGACGGCGAAGTCGGCATGTATCCTGAACCAGGGATATTCAGACTGTGGCTATGAAAACGGCGGCATTTTAGCGTTAAATTTTGCAGCTTGTTGACGCTGCATGCATCTACCTATCAAGTTCATGGTGGGCTGGTCCATGAGTAGCTAATATGCAAAACTTCAAACTATAGACTTCATTCGTTTTACTCTGGGATGACCAATATGAAACTGCTTCAACACATTTGATCGTAAGGATTCTGACATCACCACTGTCTTCAAACATCATGCATTTGTTTACGATGCACAACGAATCTCGATGATGGTAAAGTTGCTTCATCTTGCCATCTAAACTAGTAGACGGCCAACCGTTAGTAACGAAGTTTATCGTCTTCTTAATGATCGGATCATTCCTGGAAGCAGCTTGGATCTCCGATGCTGAAACTCACAAAGCACGAATGGCAGTCGTCGGTTAACATTCTGTGTGATCTTCTGTCGAAAGCGAAGCGATAAACATGTTTTCCTCTGACGTAGTGTTCACTGATACGTCGTGACAAAGCGTCCGCCTGACCAAAGTATTGGGTGCATCGGTACTGAATTCCGAAATCGTGACCCAATAGTACCAAGGCCCATCGCTAGAGACGATTTGAAAAATGGGTTGGGACACCAGATTTTGAACCAAAAACTGTAAGAAGCTTGTGGTCTGTTAGAAGAGTAAATCCTCGACCATATAAGAACTTGTTGAAACGACGAACAGCAAAGACAAGGGAGTGACTCCATCTTCACCTGACTGTACTTTTTCTCTGCCGACGTTAATGTGCGGGATGCATTCATTATAGCTTCTGTCGCGCCCGGAAGTTGATGTAAAATGACGGCGCCACGCTCAAGGACTGAAGCATCCACAGCCACGATGATTAGCATAGACGGATCGTAGCACGTTAGTAATAATTCCGAGCTAATAATCGTCTTCAGTTTGTAAAAAGCTACTTCACACTCTTTTGTCCAATTTTAAGTGATGTTCATATTCAGAAGACAATTCAGTGAGCCCCGGATATCATGCATCGAAGGGACAAACGCTAACTAATAACTAATTAATCGTAGGGTAGAGACATTGGTGGGAGTAGGCATCGATTATATAGCTCGAATATTTTCGAAATCTGGTCGGCGGTCTGCGGTGTCAAAGATGAATCTCAAATATTTCACCGACTTTAAGGCCTAACATGCTCAACATTCAATATTTAAGAGATAAGCAAATGAAACAATCGGTTAAACAAGGAACTAAATCCAAATAATTTAGAAGTACAGCTGAGAAATCCTGTACACCAAGTTAATTAAATAATGCAGTTCAGTAATCACACAGACTTGTCAAGGTTACACATATTATTTGATTCCCCAAAAAGTAAATGGGCTGGGGCTCTAATCAGGGGAGAAATTCACTGTATCGTGTCAAGCTAGATTGTTAATATTATCGTTTCAATGAACTTGAATGCTTACTTTCAATGAGGCTCTTCACGAAGTTTGACCAGGTTATTGAATCAACTACATTGGTTTATGAGGAACCTGTGTTTAGGTTGGGACTCATTTGCAAAGTACAGACACATGCATTGGGCTTCAAATGACACTTGTTCGACGACTAGTGACATTACCCAATGACCTAAATCCAAGATGGTGGAAGTGTCATGATTCGATGGAGTGTTACATTTTCTAATCTTAAACTGATTTGTTTCACATTAACAGCAAAACTGAATTAAAATTTTATAAATTTACCTTGCAAGAATTTAGTTTAAAAGTGCTAAATCATGCTTTTTATTGAAACACGTTTCAGTGGTAAACGGACACCCAAGTAAAGAAATACAACTTGATAAAACGTAAAACATTTTGACGCACTTGTAGAATCGGTTCCCAAGTAAAGCTATTTTCAACTTTTGTAGAACTCTCGATACCTTTAAGTTGTTTAGGATTGATCGATTTACCTAGCTCTGGATTTGGATGACTGCGTTTACAATGAATATTCTCTATCTCGGATGTTTTAGGAGGAGGAAGCAGATGTTTGTTGAATTGCGAAACAGAACTCATATATTCACTGAAACCACTTTGAAGCCAAATGGAAGCAGTTTGCTGCCCTATAAATAATCATGGGGAATAGTTAGGTGATAATCAGTTTAGCAGAAAAACTGAAATCGCTATGAAGCAATAAATATTACATTGGAATAAGATTTATAATATCTGGCATTAGGTCCAAACGTAAATGATGACAGGATCTCTAGACGTACTTCGCATAAAAAAGACTGGTAGTTCGAAAGATTATAAATCAAAGTGAGAGATAAATGATTTTATTTTAATATGGTGTCAGATCTGTACGAATGCCTTGCATCCAAAGTATGATAAAAATTCCACAATTAAATTGCCAAGAAACTCCTGTTATCACAACTTACTGAGATTATGGACCGATCAATGTTAGACCATCATCGAAAAACTAGAGGCACTAGACGGCCGTTTTCTGGCCGTAGCTGCTACCTTGACGTGGTGGTCGGGTTTGCCTATTGTGACAAATTAAATAAGCACTTGACCTCTAGACCACTGAGTCGGCATCCAATGGTGTTATTGTCTAATTTCAGTCAATCCACGATATTGAGCGACCATCTTCCATTGATTCCGGTGGGTAACTGCCTCACACCCAACACGGTTGGACTCCACTGATCACGACTTCCCTCTAAGACTCTGAGAATTCGTTCTCGAGGCTAGTCACTAACGAGCGCAGTGATCACGATCTCAATGAAGATACAACAATCTCCACAACCCCTTTACTAGTAATCAAACTAATTTAATTTGTAGAGCAGAATGTTAAAGTCGACGAAAGAACAAGCGTTATAAACCCATGAACGCATACGATTTAGTTTAATTTGCATCGTTCTACACAAATTAGATATGCTTGAAAATTGGTCTTACTACTATATATTTACGTTTCGACCTCTTATCACCCCACTTTTTTGTTCCATATTCACGGATGATTTTGTTGTATTTCTCTTTTAATTCTACACTCATACAAGTATTATAATTTTTTGTCTTTAGATTGTACGTGCTGATGATATACTGATGCAAACTTTCTACTTTAAGAAATGACGTTTAAGCCATTTTAAACTGCAACAAAACTCCAATAAGTAGCGCAGGAGTATCATTATTACAAAGACAATACGGTAACTGATTTCACCAAGTCTTGTAAGATGTAAATTTCCTAATGAGGATCGAGATTATGGATGCCCTAGACAGCATAATTCGAAATCGATCACAATGTCACAGAAACATTTAAGATTTAGCTTCCTTGAAATCTTGTAAATATTGTTACTTGAAATTTATTTTTCTGCTGGATTATATACTTCATTCTCATTTTTTATATCATGCCATTCTCGTCAATGTTTTTCTCCAATAATACTATGCAGTATCAAAATTTAAGACGATGCACTTTCTGCATTGAACCTTATCATTTAAACTATTTTCAGGGTCCAAAACTAAGGATATTCATAGTATGACCAGTCTATTCGACTTGTTTAAATCGTTAAGGTTTTTTGTGATATTTGGAAGTGTAAAAACAATTAATAAAACCCTTCTCCACTTTTAATAAGTCAAGAAAAATGCTAGTGATTCGTAATCTCAATATCATACGAAACAGGTCATAATAGTGATCCTTACATTTCAAGTGATTCATTTGTTTTCTTGGCCAAATTATCTAAGTAAATCCAATAATTACAGATTTTCGACAATCGGTAATTTGTATTAAGATGAGGAGATCGAGTCTATGAACTCAGTAGATTTGTTAAATAAGTATGGAATCGTAAAGTTATATCGGAATTCCGGAGTTCCGTCTGAAAACATTTCTGCTAACCACACAAAAGGTTCACAAACCATTAGTTAATATTTCGGTCAGTAAACCACTAAGAAGCCAATCCAAACAAACGTTTTATCTACCATCTGTTATTTTTATGCAGATAATAGAGGTGATAAGTTTGACTAAGAGATGTGTGTTTTATTACGTTATCTTTGCTTTAGTTAGATGTTAACAACACACTGTATTTCTGAGGAACGTGTGGAGAAATTTATACCCTGATAATAAGCATATGTAAAAATAATTACCCATGTTTGGAATGTTCAACGTTGTTCGTGACACGTCATACTCCCTCTCCAGACATTCAACTGTGCTTATATGTTGAAAACCTGATTCTAGTAAAGCTGTACAGGATCTCTGAACTTGTTCGATACAAGGTGAGAATAAACATACACGACCAACTAAAAAGTAAAATGGATGTGGAAAACTAAATTATTCGCTTAATATGGTTTGCTACAGTCAAACTAAAATTGAGATACTATCAAAAATGACATAAAATTAGTCACAAACCAAATGGAGGAATCCCAACTCACTGTTAATAATAAAATAAAACGTTGTAAGGTGACAATATTGGTCAACGTGCGTATTTATTAAATAGAAAAGACTCTCTTTGGATTTTGGCTTCCATCTTGATTTCAGTTGGTTGATGCTTATATTTTATCGTACATAATAAGTCATGACGATTTGATTTCTGACCAACAAAAAGACGTTTTTTTGATATACTGCAGATGAACACCTTAAAGAAATTTTGCCAGACATATAGAAAGTGGATTTTCAGTCATTTTCGTAAAACAAAGTGATTACCTGACTACAAGACAAGAATCGAATTTACGAAAAAGTGAAGCAATTGGTTCGACATTACATATGAGATACAGATACTGAAGGTATACAGCATAGAGGCGAAATGTATTCAAAGGGCGATCCATGGCATCCCTGACTGGTTTTGTGGACTGTGTGAAGGAACGAAAGTTCCAAGCAGAGTCTCTCAAGGTAGATAAGTCTAGTAGCCGAGAAAAAACCAGATAATCGAAAAGTAAAAATATTCACTTATGAAGTGTAAATCTAAATTTCCATTTTAAAATCTACTGATTGTTCGCCTCTTAAAAATTTCCTCTAGTTATCATTTTGCTGATTATATGCTGACACGCTGTTTGTTGCAGCTTTCAAGTTCATTGACTGAATCAATCTTCACTAAACTAACCACCGGAGATGAGGTAAGTGTATACTAGATGTACAAGATCCAGTCTTCTGAATTTTAAGGAACACAGAAAACGATCTGCAAAAGCAACATAGAGATGGGCTACACGGTTTTCGCCTCATTTCAGACAAACTTCCTGCACATTATAAACTATCGTTTATAATGCCCTGGTACGGCCGAGAGTGAGGAGAGTCCGCCCTCCCTCTCGAAATGCTCTCACATGACCACGCGTATATAGCCTCTGCCAGGGAAGTCCTACTCATTGCCTTCTCGTGGCGGGGGTGTTGTTTACGAAAATGAGAGGACGAAAAGCGAACGTCCGGCGCTTTAACCGGATTCCAAACCAATGGTGCACATGGGCTCCAGTATCCTGCGGGAACAAATGGCGTATGAACCAATCGTTGGTCACCGGCTACCATGGGACTGCATCTCCTTACGATGCTCCACTGCCTTGTGGGTCAGACCCTTGGGTCAAAGGCTCGGGGTGTGGCCTCGTAAGAAAACCACCTGCTTCGGTTTGGGTACCCGGGCAGTATCACAGCCTTCAAACATCGAATGGGATTTGTGTGGCGCATATGTATTTGGTGCCTCCTTGTACCAATATCTATGTGTTAAAATAAATAAATAAATAATCGTTACTCATACATAAACAACTTCGGAAACTAGGCATAATTTTAATGACTATTACTTCTGTTACCCTATTAAATTAGCCTTCGGTTGATTTCATTTTGAATATTATGGTTACATATACGAAGCAACTGATCGACGATTCAGTGACCCATAACTTATGGATCACGGAAGTATGGACAGGATATTAAAGATAACTGAATTCTTCCCCTAATCAGCGTCAAAACCTACATTTCGTTACTGAAACTGTGATGAAGTGGTTAAAAATTAACTAAATAAGCTACTGAGTCATAGCTACTCATGAAAAAAGAGACGAAATATTTACATTTGTTTCGTATACTATTTTCAGATACTCTATAAAAAAATTACAAACTTTACTTGAATCAGGACGGAGAGTACGTCCAAGATGAGGAATAACTACCCATGGCCTAGGCAGATCCAAGACAACAGCATCTACACCATTAGGATTTAATTCACTCCCGATTGGTGGAAAATAATCATTACAAACATCACGGATATCAACCTTCACAACATCCCCAAGTGAATGTGACTGAATAAATCATGGGATCAAATAGAAAATAATATGGAAATGAGTATTCTTGAAAAAAACTATATCGTAAATTTACTCTTCTAAAATTAGATGCATGAAGAAACGTGTGCATCGAAGATAAAACTTAACGGATAAGCTAATTCCGTGGTTTTTTGTCAACAATGATCTACAGTTCAAACTTTTACTTATTGTAATGAATCAGTATTTACTCTAAATACCCATAACTAAATGGTACAGTGTAGAACATCATGTGACATAAAAGAACAATGTATGGTAAATGTTATGACTAGTGGTCGACTGTTATGACTGCGTCGCCAATTGTTATATCTGGTCGTCGCTAAGTCTTATGTCGAAATAACTTGTCACTTATACTTGTAAAATGAGGAACCACTAAAATTTCCACGACGCGAAAGAACACAAAGACTGGTACAAGTGAAGGTTTATGAACCCCGAAACACGACGACGACCCTAGCCGAAAATACACTCATTTATACATTGATTGTACATCTATTTTGATTATTAATCAGGATGAAATCATATATATCAAAAATACCTAGAATTATAACAAATCATATGCTGTGTCATGCTCAGCATAGTTCATGCTAATTTAATACAAGAATACCGTATCTTGAACAAAAATCACAGTCAGTAAAAGAATGTAATTTTGCTTTTTAATCCCAACATATCAGTAAATAAGACTCAATTGTGCTATGCCACACAAAATATTCTAGGATAAAATATGTAGTGTTTACGGTAATGTAATTAGTGGATAAATCAGTTCCAATAGGCATTACGTAGAAGTTTCCAGTTTCTGAAATATTCTATCACAATGACCTGACAATAGACTTAACGTTTTCTATGCAATCAGGAATAACGTTTAACTCAACAGACTCCTGGACAAGTATCCATGAAGACTATTTCCACCATATCAATAACCGAAATATACAAATCTACTTAAACCTACATAAGCAGAAAACAAAACTCACATTGAACTCTTCAGATGCCAACTTAACACGTTCACTATGAAAATCAAACGTATGAACATGACCATGGGGTAATACAGCTTGAGCTAAGAAATGCGTCAATGATCCGCTGCCTGTCCCCGCTTCGAACACCCATTTCCCAGGAGCCAAATCTAAGCCCCCAACAATTAAACTTGCATCACATGGATAAATTATTTGAGTCCGATGAGGTAGTGTTTCTGACCATAGAGCTGGACTTAACGCTAATATATACACATATCCACGCGATGTTTGGATCTAAAAGCCCAAGAATAAACTCAGTGATAATTATGAAGTAGTTGTGACGACGGTGATTCTAATGTTCGATTTTGAGAAACGAACACGACAAAAAACACATACAAGAAAAGAAAAGAGTGGAACTATCTGCATCAGTAATCTTTATTGTCGAAAGCAAGCAAAATTGTATGAAACTAATTTGGATAAAGCTCTAACAAATCAGTAATAAATTGCAGAAACGGAAATACTCTTTAAAAGGGAATATTGTCAGACTGAAGGAATTATCTTTAGTTTTCACCGTTTCAGCAAAACAATCAACTATGGGTCATATCTATCATATAACTAATGAACTACCAACCTTATAGGGAGAATCAGTTCGGTTAGAAAAGCCCTTCTAAATCACGTTAGTATGTGATATAAAATAAACATTTTGCTGTTGATAATTTGGTGAAACTTTGATTTTCCTCTAAAATATTGCAAATCATACACTAGAGCATTAGTAACGAAAAACAAAAAGTAGTCGTTTTGGACAACTGTGAGACTACTTCAATCAGAAATGTGTGAGACCTAAACACACTTATTACATGTAGTGAGGTAACCGGCAGTAGTGTTTTTATTCCGAACACCTAATTAATAAGTAATACTAGTAAGACTAAAAGTAATCACGGAAACGTCAGTCTGTCAACATACCTTCGATCCATACTTTTTTCCTACACAATCATCATGTCTCAATGCTCCAAAACGTGTCTGTAACACATCGCCCTTCTTAAGCACTGTAGTTAGATTCTTGAAACTCCCCAAATCGATTATAACACAATCTCCATACTGCGCTACATCTTTTTGAAATGCATCGGGAGACATGACAAATTTATATGCGACGAACCACTTGTTTTATATTCGGGAAACGTGTTACTGAGTTAAAAGGAAATACGGAATTGCATTAAGTAATGACAAGATTACTCTAGAAAATTAAGCATTACAAATCTGTATACTCCGAAAACTTTATCAATAGATGAACCAACAATTTATATAAGATACGAGCTCGTTCAGACCGAAGTTCACAGCTATCGCCTTAACAAAAGGCTAGAATGTTGCTGTGCTTGTACACAACTGGCCAAACTATTTGAAAATATACACAAATTCTGAAATTGTTGTAGTATCTGATGTGCTTAAATTAAAGATCATAAGGCATTGACATTGCATTATAGATGAATTTCTTGACAATTCCTGTAAGATTTAGTTAAACGTAGACATTTTACTTTAGTCCTCAAATATCGAAATAGAAACATAGAATGTGACAGAATGCGATGGTGACTCCTGTTGCTGAAAATTGCTTAGAATTAAAACCACGAAAACGAGAAAGTACGACATGCATTTGAGTACAGACTTAGGCGCACACAGTAGTATATTTATAAAGTAGGTTAGCTAAAAATTAATTCTTAAAGACTACAGTGGTGATTCAGTGAGAAAACTTAAGGCAGTATTCTTTTTTCCTCCATAATCGAAAATTCATCAAAAAGCAGCTGAAGATGACTCATAATGAATGACTCAACATACATACTTAAGGCTTGTCAGAAGAGAGGCTAACTGGGTTACCGGGATAAAAAAGAATGAGCGGTCTCACTTATTTCCTAAAGCGCTAACACGAAAACCACTAACCACACATCGGCAACCACCCCGCAGTGGCAACGCCCATCGTTGGAGGTCGCTGAGCACTTGAAGGTCAAACTGCCATAGAACGGTTTGTGCGTTGCCTCGACAATTTGTAATGTTACCCGGAAGCGGTCAAATCAAGAGAATTTGAAACTTGGTTTTAGTTTAACCGTACTGTCTAATAGCTTCCAACCTTTAAGTGATGAAAGCGAAAGAGTGAGTGTTTTAGAATGGAGTCGTGATTTAGTACTTGCGAATTAACTTTGGTTTTGCGTGCTTGGTCTACTTCAAAATGATTCAAATGGTTGTGGATGGAATAGAAGAACATTTCGCTTAGCGAGTTTCCGTGTCTAGTTGCAGTGGATCAATAATATCTCCGGGCAGGAACCAAGGTATTTTAACGATAATAGAGGAAAATGAAATTGGTAAATTATGGTACGATATTATCCTTAGTCTTTAAAAATAAGTCAAGTTTCCTCTTAAAAGACTCCCCGGAAGTCGCTTGAAGTAGCTCAGTGGGTAGCGAATTTCAGTATCTGACAACTCTTAAGGAATAGAATCTGTGTCTAATGTCCGTTCTGTTGTGTTGTGTCTAGTTTCTGGGTGTTATTCCTTAGGTTTGTGTTGGATCTAAACTTAAGTGGGTGCTTCCGTACTCTAAATGGCGACGAATAAAACTGTTAAAGATTATGTAGAAAGCCCTGCCGTCAAACTGGCCAAAAGTGCGCTCGGAAGGCATTTTTGTCATACTTAGCGTAAGACTTCAAATCGTAGGTTACCAGCACTCCTAAATCTTGCAACTTGAGATACTTATGGAGAGGGGTTTCCTAAGTTGTAAGTGCAGTCTGCAACATGTCGCAGATGGACTACTTTACACTTTGAAGTGTTAAAGGTAAGTCCGTTGTCGTCTGCCCAACTATGAAGTCGAGTCAGATCCTCCTGAAGTGCCAGTATGTCCTCTTGGTTGCGTATCTCTCTCCAAAGTTTCAAACCATCAGCAATAAGTAATAAGTCGGACGATACTTGTTGTGGAAGATTGTTTATATAAATCAGGAAGAGAAGAGGTCCTAGCACTGAACCCTGAGGGACCCCACTAGCACATTCCTTAGCCTGAGAGAAAGTGAAGTTAACCCTGACTTTAAAATGTCGATTTTTTAAATATGAGGTGAGCTAGTCAGTTAGAGGTGCCTTGATACCCAATCGTTTGAGCTTATCGATAAGACATATATGGTTGACCCTATCAAAAGCTTTTGAGAAGTCAGGGCAAATGACATTAACCTTCCCATTGTGATCAGGGACGGTTCATCTGCCTACCGCAGTCAGCAGGTTGATTATATAAGAATGACCCTTCCTGAAACTATGCTGTCGGGGTGAAAAGAAGTTTAAAGATAATAAATAGTCGTGTATATCGTCTCATGTCAGGGACTCCATAATTTTTGAAGGTTTAGAGAGATGAGCCACTGGTCAGTAGCTTGATGGTTCGTTGCGTCGACCTCCTTTGAAAATTGGTGAGATGTGAGCCAGCTTCCAAATTTCCGGTAGTTTGCATCGGCTTAGCGAGTGTGGGGACATCACGCCAAGCGGTGTTGCCAGGATTGAAGCTGCTTCCCTCAGTATGGCAGAATGAACCCTATCCGGACCAGGAGAAGTGTCTTTTCGTAGGTGCTGCAGTTTCCGGTACATTAAGTCAGCGCACAGGTTCACCTCATGAAGTCCTGTGCGGTTGCCGATGAAGCTTTCATCAGTATGGCTAATGTGGGTCGATTGAAACGTCCGAAAGTATTGTTCAGCCAGAAGGTTCGCGAAGTCGGCGTCTTTATTGGCCTGGCCATTAGGACCTAGCAGTTGCCAAACCTCAGTTTTGGCCTATCGACGAGAGGCTGCATAACGGAACAATCTTTTTGGGTTGAAGACAAATTTATCCATAAGCTTTATCTGGAACTGAAGCCTATCTCTTATTGCCTTTGTGCATATATCCCTTATATGTTTGTATTGCCTGCACGCGCCGTTGTAGTCAGTTTGTTTGCATTCCGCCCAACAGTGCCTTTAGCCGAGCAAACGAATGGTGAGGTTCTTGATAATTGTAGGTCGCTAGTAGATTTTAGGGACAATTTGAAGAACAGACTGTTTTGTAGCACATAAGATCGTGTACAGTAAGAAATCCCGATGAGCGTCCACATCGAGTTGAGGGTGAAGTTCCGAATCCACCCGTTGTAGATTGTCCCGTAAAGCTGACACATCCAACCGTTCGAAATTTCAGCTACTGTTATTAGTGGGATGTCTTAGCTCAGTTTTGCTGAAAAAATTGAAGTATATAACGGCGTGATCGCTTCTTCCCAGGGGAGCCAGGATTGAGAGGTTGTCAACCAGGAATTTTTCTTTTGTAAATACCCAGTCTAAGCGCGACGGTGTCTGACTGTCTCTTCAACGAGTTGCCGATTTTACATTTTCAAATAATCCCTGACCCTTAATCAGGTTGGAGAACCGAGCTTCGATAGAGTTTTCACCCCCAGTGTACTTGTGCCGTTCGAAATTGACCTTAGGAAGACTGAAGTCTCCTAGAATCAGGATATGATTGAATCCGAGGCGCGTAGAGCGGGATAATTCTTCCAGCATACCATTGTCGTACTCGATGTCAGTATTGAGCTTCCTGTAGATAACTCCAACTAGACATCTCGAGGTGGTGAACAATCTTACTGAGCACCAAACGGATTCGTCAAGATTAATAAACCCTTGGTTATGCAGTTGATGCACCTCCAGGCATAATCGCAGGTATAAGGCTACTCCACCCCCAGTCCCTGTTTTTCTGTCATTGAGAAACATAGACATCCCGGTCATAGCTAACTCCTGGTCCGTAAACTGAGAAGTTATCCAGGTTTCAGATATTTCTGTCAGATGAGCATTATTAGCATTCCTGAGTTCATGTAGCTCAACCATTTCATTCGGTAAACTCGAGGCGTTCATGTATAAACAGTTTATGCTTTCAATTTGAAACGCGTGAGCTTTTCTTTTCTGCTTGTCTGTATGACCCTTACGTGAATGGATAGGTAGCCTACCTATATAAGGTTTTCCGAGTTGATAACTTCAGCCTGAATTATTTCTCTTGAGGTTTGAAGATATTAGATACTTGGAGTACTACAAATTGTAAGGTTTAATTTAGGTGTGTGTGTATTTCGAAAAGGGCAGTGATTGTCTTTGCTTTTGTGTACCGGTTACATCAAAAAGTATCCTCTGTCTACTTTAACTCGAAGCATTTCGGTTAAGGCTTGAAATTTTGTTAAACTTCGTCTTGTAGCACGTTCTTTCTCACTGACTCTGACACCTGTGTTCAGATTGTGTTTTAAACCTTCATCTCATCACAATGGTTGGGAGTACATATAAATGTGGACAGCCAAATTGTTTATTACTCGTGGAGACAGGAATGCAATATAATAAGTGTGAAAAGTGATTCCAATAGGATGTGTACCCGTTTAACTCTCACCGCATACAAAAGATGTTTGAGGTCTAACTCACACTGGCTCTGTATGTTTCGCTGTACCAAATAGTTGGGTCTTGAAAGCAAATGCTACCACGGCCTGTGTGGATGAACTAGGTGAACTAGAAGCATCAGTAGACAAATTAAGGCCACTCATTGTAACTATGGAGGAAACTTGGTTAGTCAACGACTTCGACATTACTCCAGAATTATCCGGATGCCATTACCTAAGAAGTGATACATACAGATGTAGGAAAGAAAGTGGAGTCCTTTTATACATAGCCAACAATATAAATATCCGCTCCCTTGCTTACGTATCCATGATAGTGGAACGTTTGTAGTCGTTAACTGTGACCCCACTTCTGGATGTTGTACGTTTATACTCGGTGTCATATATCGCAGCCCAATCTGCTTAGCTGGTGACTTTATTTTAGAGCGAATCCAGCTATGGAGGGAAAATAACAGATACTTGATATCAAAAGACTTTGATGCACCTGATATTAGTTGGACTGAGATGGCCACAGTAGGATCTATGAACTCGTATGCTAGTAGGTTCTTGATAACGGTAATGGAGCATGCATTAGTACAGCATGCATCCAAACCCACACGTTTTGGTGCAAACTTAGGTCTTCTATGATGGACTTTGTAATCACTCATGAGGCTGAAAATATTATCGACCTAACTATTCTTCCACCGTTGGTGAATGGCGATCACCCTGTTTTTTCATTCACGTTTAGTTCTACTGACATGATATACGATCAGGTTAAGCTTCTCCTAGCTATTTAGAGAGCTAACATATCAGCCATTCAGGAGTGTGCCGGCACGACAGATTGGTCACTAGATTTAATTAGTAACTATCGACCCGTTACCTTAACTAGTGCAGTCGTAAAACTAATAGGAAAAATTATTAGGATAGCTGTTATAAACTGTGTGGCAAGAAATAATCTTTTATCCGGAGAACGACGTCGTTTTCGGAGAGGCCTATCATTTTTGACAAATTTTCTCATTGCAAGAGAAGATTGTGCTAAGGCAAAAGATAGAAATATTCCTGTAGATATGATTTTCACAGATCTAAGTAAAGCCTTCGATGAGGTCTCCCAGTCTGGTTTTAAGTTCAAACTGGAAATTCTTGGAATCCATTATACAGTCATAGATTGGATAAAATAAAAAATAACAATCATACAAGATCAGGCGAAAAGTGGCTGTGGGTGTGAGATACTGTAACTAATAAACTGGGAATAACTTAAGAATATTGAATCGTATATTATTATGATGTTTCTACCAGGGCAAGTACACGTTATTTTCACAGGCATAAACTATAATTTACAACATTGATTTGCATAGAAAATGCTTCCCAATTAGTGTTGTTTAAATAAACGAAATGAATAAAGATTAAAGTTATTACATTCGTGTAGATGTTCCGAAGAGTTAATGAGTAGGTCTATGCTTTATTATTGCACTACAGATGATTAATAATTTGTAGTGGAACAGACAGAGGTACGATTAATCAGCAGATCAAACTCATAATAACTCTTGTTGTTAGAGTGAGACACAGTTAAAGCCTACAGATGAGGGAATACAGTAATAAAGAGTGT